TAGGGGGCTAAGAGGGAAGGTAGCAGAAATGAGGACGCTGCGTGCACATCAGCACTCCGACATCATATTCATCACCGAATCCTGGCTCTCGCCAGACATCTCCGACGAAGAGATGCATGTTACTGGCATGGAACTCTTCCGCAGGGACAGGGAACATAGAGCAGGAGGGGAGTGGCTATCTACGTAAACTTCCGTTTAAAGGCAAGGATGGTTAGCGATACGGCCTTAACCCAGCTCCCAGAGTCCCTATGGTGCTACTTCACTCTCCACAGTACCAAATACCTGCTCGGAGTCATATATCGGTCCCCCACCAGCTCCCCTACACATAAGGAAATGATCATCAAGGCTATCTTAACGACTTCCTCTGCAAATTACGATTCCGTAGTCATTGCCGGCGACTTCAACACCCCGTCCATCCTCTTCGAGACGGAAGGGAGACGCATCAGATCCTTCAATCAGAAGCTGAAGGATGCAATTAAGACTGCTGGCCTCTCAGAGAAAGTGGGTGATGCTACACGCTGGGGACCTAACGGAAACGCATCGCGCCTTGACTACGTTCTGACGAACGATGAACTTCTCATTGAGGATGTTTGCATCCAACCTCCCCTTGGCCTCAGTGACCACGCTGTAATCACCTTCTCCATGATAACTAGGGAGGCTCTGCAACTGGAGACGCCCAACACCTTCCCTTGCTACAGCAAGGCCAACTTATGACCATGAGGGACTACCTCATGAATGCATCATGGCCAGTGGACTGGACTCATCTCACAATAGATGAACACTGGTTGGAGGTGAAGAAAATAATCACTGGGGCCATCAGTCACAGTGTACCAGAAGTAACACACAGACAATCAATGAGAACCTCATGGTTAAAGCGTGGGACAGAGAGGCTTATCCGGAGCAAGAAGCAGGCTTGGTTCAAGTGGCGTACATCACGCAGGGAGTCTGACTTCTTGAACTACAAAAGGATTCGCAATCTCTGTAACATTAGAGTGCGTAACGACAGATTTTCCTACCAAACAAACTTGGCAGCGAGGTTACAAAGCAACCCCAAAAACCTGTACCGCTTCATGTCAAGAAGAAAGTCGACCAGTAAGGGAGTGAATCTTGTCACAGGCCATGACGGGAGTGTGCTAAGCAGTCTAGAGATTGCCGAGCTTTTGAGCTCACACTTCCAAGCCCAACTCAGCACTGACACAAGATCCACACCGACTCGCCACGACACCGACCAGGTCGCAAATAACGAATACCTCTGTCACGTCTCTATTACAGAGAAAAAGGTGTTCGAGAAGCTATCTAGGCTACGTCCGGGCAAGTCCCCTGGCTGCGATAACCTGAAACCAGTGGTTCTGAAAAACTGCGCCGAGGTGCTTACCAAACCACTTCGCAACCTCTTTGAGCACTCAATAGACTCGTGCAAACTCCCTAAAGAATGGAAGAGCGCCATCTTGTCACCCATCTTCAAGGGAGGAGACAGAAAAAGCCCTGGCAGCTACAGGCCGATTGCCCTACTCCCTATTGTGTCGAAAGTGTTGGAAAGCCTGGTAGCTGACACCATCTGGGAATTCCTCAATAGGAAAACACTGTCCACACTGCTCAGCACGGCTTTCGTAGTGGTCGCTCATGTGCCACCAACTTACTAACCGCCTGGGACGACTGGACACAAAGCTGGGATAATAGAAAACCTGTACATGTTGTATTTCTCGACCTAGCCAAAGCATTTGACAGTGTCCCACCCACAGTACTGCTTCACAAGATCATGTCAGCTGGTATAAGTGGACCCCTACTCTCTTGGTTCAAGGAGTACCTGGAAGGGAGGCAGTTCTGCACTAAAGTGAACAGAATAAGGTCGGAGTGGAGACCCTCGACGTCAGGAGTATCCCAAGGAGCAATCCTAGGACCGCTTCTGTTCCTCCTGTTTGTCAACGATCTGCCAGACAAAATATCCTCACCCATCCTCCTCTTCGCTGACGACATAAAAATTTGGAGGGTGGTAAACGAAGAAGCTGATTGTACAGCACTACAAAAGGACTTGCAGCAACTCGAGCTCTGGCCTGGGCTTCAACCTGGAAAGTGCAAAGTAATGCACATCAGTAAAAATGAGGCAAGTACGACCGACTTCCAGTACATGTTGAGCAACCGTGCTATCACCAGAGTGTCCATGGAGAAAGATTTGGGGCTCAACTTCTCCGACACCTTGGACACCAGCTCCAACTACAAAGGTATGACAACCAGAGCGAACGCCATTCTACACTTTCTGCGTAGACAGCTTGGCGCCCTCACTCCCGAACTCTTCCTCACCATTTTCAAATCCTACGTGCGGCCGCACCTAGAGGTCTTCAATACGGTGGCTCCTCCAACACTCAAGAGAGACTCTAATCTCCTTGAAAGAATACAAAGAACTGCAACAAAATCTGCTGTGGGGCTAAGGAGAAAGACGTATCCCGAACAACCTTGTAGCGTCACACACTTCCCCAAAATCAATAGCCTAGGGTTCGACAACTTTCGACATTGAAGCTGACCTTGACAGTTTAACTGGATTCGCTATGCTGAAGGCACCCGGTCAGGCATCCCCGCCATTTGGCACGCTGTCATGTTACGTTGCACTGCTCGTATTCGACTCTCTAGCCAGTTAGTTGAAATGCATCGGTATCTTGGCACAACCATCCAAATACACTATTCCGTCCGACTACGCTATCATGTTCTCTGTTGATCTCGTATTCGTGGGTATATAACAAGTCCGAATAATTAGTGATTGGTCTTTGCGTCCGTCAGGTTCGCACCAGGACAAATCCTAAAACTTAAACACCTAAACCTATCTACCTTGGGTTATCGCAGGAAAAGGGGTGACCTTATTATGGCATACAAAGTCGTCCATCAAGCAGGCCATACAAACAAATCAGTTTTGCCTGCAACTCAACGATCTTCACGAGGAAACCCCATTAGTGTAGCACACCAGAGAGCCAACACCATACTCAGGTCCAAATTTTTCTCCCTAAGAGTATGTGCTTTATGGAATGCCTTACCGCGACATATCGTTATAGCTCCCTCAGTCGACTCATTCAAGAGACGATTAGACAGTTATGTCACCCCGCATGGACTACCATGGATGTACCCAGGTGGTCACCAACTCCCTCCTAACTACCACTCACTATCTCCCTCCTTAATACACTACACTACCCACCAATTCTTCTGTAGAAACCAAACCCACGCTACCATTCGGGCAATTCCCAAATACTTTTCTTTCGTTCTCATTTCTCTTTTCACCCCTCCTTTTTCTTCTCTTTCCCCCTTCTCTTCCCTTATTATTATTTTTTCTTCTTTCTTCTCTTTTTATTCTCTATTCATTCTTTTACCACTACCTTACTATTCTCTTTCAGGTACCTACACAGACAGGAGTCACGGCAGTTCTCTAAAGGTCCCAGCAACCCGTAGCCCCCAATCACTCTACAAATTACAACTTACTAACCCACATGACATCCACCTCACCGAAGCTAAAAGCAAGAAAGCAGAGGGGACTTCCCCGTTCACTGCAGCAGTGAACCAAAAAACTAGAAGGAGGCCCTGAGAACTAGACGCGAGAGATCAAAAACAACCAGTTTTCTACGCTCGCACTTTCAATATTGGATATTGGGTCCTCTTAAGCCGGGCTATTCAAACGTAGCGTCACAAGAAAGGTAAATTTGTTTGCCGAGTTCTCATTTACTTGTATTCGCAGAAATTTTTCTGAATTGTCATCCATAAATAAGAAATCTGTTCCATCATCTTACTTTAGCATATGAATGTCATTTGGTGTTGTGCATTGCCTTACTCTGGCAAGTGTAAGTGGCAGTGTCTCCCACCTCCAGCCAGCACTTACTTCGGGTACACATTGTAAGCTTTGGACAAAAACCCGAAACTTTTACTTCCAGCGCAGACGGGGCAGACGCGCGATATTCCCAGAAAATTCCAAACATTTTCCCCGAAACTGTCACAAGTTTTAAAGTGAGCCCAAATTGTATGCAGTGCGCCCGAAGTTCACAAATTTGTGAAGGCAGTGGGTCCTAAGTTTTGGAACAATCTACATCCAGTTCCAAGAAGCCATATTTGGTAATATTATCACACATACTGTTCAGGTTTCATTGCCGCATGTGTTTGTGCATTACAAATCAACGAAATGGAAAAAGTCAACAGAAATAATTGAAAAAATTAGGGGACACCTGTAAGTTCCAAAGTGCACTCTAAGTAAATGCTGGCTGAACTGAAAGGGTCGGCGATTAAGTATACCATTCTGTTGAAAGCTCTTTATTCGAACACTTGCGGATGTGTTAGATATTATGATGAATTATGGGGTGGGTTGGGTAAGTCACATGGTGTCCACCAGGAATGTGCGCTCCGGCTGTTCCCATTCAGTTTCACCATACATGTTCTTCCGGAAGTCTCCCTCTCGTCGTCTGGCTTCACATGAACTGGTTTTATCACAACAGAATCCCTGGTAAACCTATAGCACTCAGATGATATTTCTCTGATAGAGGGACGCTTAAAAGTTGATTCAGCCTTGGTGAATCAGTAAACGATGTAATCCCTGTAGTAACAAAATGGGCTCGCTTTGCTGTCTACATTTATAGCGTTGCCGTGATACCTGATTGCCTATTAGGGTTGAGTGTGCTCCTCTATCCTACTGTATGGCTTTGAAACATGGCCACACAAGGTAAAAGACATCCTAGTTGGCATTTACTTAGAGTGCACTTTGGAACTTACAGGTGTCCCCTAATTTTTTCAATTATTTCTGTTGACTTTTTCCATTTCGTTGATTTGTAATGCACAAACACATGCGGCAATGAAACCTGAACAGTATGTGTGATAATATTACCAAATATGGCTTCTTGGAACTGGATGTAGATTGTTCCAAAACTTAGGACCCACTGCCTTCACAAATTTGTGAACTTCGGGCGCACTGCATACAATTTGGGCTCACTTTAAAACTTGTGACAGTTTCGGGGAAAATGTTTGGAATTTTCTGGGAATATCGCGCGTCTGCCCCGTCTGCGCTGGAAGTAAAAGTTTCGGGTTTTTGTCCAAAGCTTACAATGTGTACCCGAAGTAAATGGTGCCTGGGATGGCAAAGCTTCATATGTTTAACCACCATTGTCTCCGTAGCGTAGACTGTATCGTAGTGCCATTTTGTTGGTAACTCAGATGTTGGGTATAAAGTTTTGTGCAGAAGAGGAGTGTCGGTTGATGAGGTTGTCGACTTGATTGACTGGGGCACGTGTTACGTATTCATACCCACCTTTTACCTAGCCGCACAGTGTTAGCTGAAGTAGGTTCAGTCTGGAAGGAGGTCAGGGGCTACCAAACTAAAACGTCATCATCACGTGTAGTCTTTGACTGTTAGTTTCGAGTCGTGTGGAATTATGGGTTGAGGTACTCATGACAACAGTAACCACTGATTGCCGAATCTATGGAATAGATGTATCCACATATTGTCTTCGTCCTAATCATGATAGTGAATTCAGTATTTTGTTATTCCTCTCTTTACTACTTTTGACTGATTCTTCCTCGCCTGATATGCTGACATGAGTTGTGGCAATTTGGGTCGTTATGCAGTAACGCTTAGTCCTATGTTGTTGGTGATATGGTTTTAAAGAGGGACAACAATTTCCTTTGATGGTACATGGCAGGTATACTGAAGGAAACGAACGAACGAATGTTTATTATTAACATGTAGTACAGTAGTCGTTAAATATGGTACACTTTGCACTAAGACTGTCATTTGCAAAATGTGCTTCATTCGCTCTTCTGCTTCCCTCTTGGTTCGCTCTTAATACGCCCGCATTGTTTCTGGGCAGAATTTTTACCCATTGCTGATAATTCCCTATTATTCTTGCCGCCCTTTCAACATATACTACTTATATCCATTGTAATCAGCAACGCCCACTACAATACTACCTAGCTACCTACAGTCATAGCAAACGTGAATGCATGAATATGTAAGCATTTAAAATTGAATGTCATTTGTTCAACTTCCCTTTCGTTAAGGTTGATCAGTTTAAGCTTAACCATAAAAACATACGGTATATTTCAGTATCTATAAACATGTGGTATGAGATTCTTCCATCAGTGGGGATTATGATAGCAACCATTGTTGTTACCTCACCTATAATCACGTTGACTACTTACGCAATGTATGGCAGGGTAAGTTTGTAGATAAGAGTGACTTCACATATTTAGTGGCATGCACCTGATGTGCGTAGATATAAACAAGATCTTACTTTACATTTACGGGACCGAGATCTTGGAGGAATGCTTTTATTGCAGGTAAGCCTTATTGTCATATAGTAGATTGATTATTATTTAACATTTTTTCAGGGTACTGAAGTTGTGGATGATGAATAAAACCTGTTGGCCAACTAACTAATGTGTAGTTATAAATGATAGTTTAAATGGGTTGGTGATTCTTATCTGATAAATCTTGTTAGCCTTGTAATTTATTTCATTGAAGAAATATATCAGAACTTCTTCACTTATTGTTGTTACAACCCGTTATCCAGCCGTCAGTTTTTACAAAGCAGTATGTTTGATGGATTGCACGGTTAATTAATTATTAATTTTTGATAAGACTTCTTCCGATTGAGGTATATGTAATAGTGGAATAAACTAATAGTCAGTAATGTGATGTGGTTTTTCTTGAAAGAAAGAAAACCAACCACTCAGTTAAGTCTAATAGGAAGCAGTCTAAACCGAAATCAATATTCTAAGTCATAAGTTGCTAAGGTAGAAGTTTTGGATTGATACCTTGGTTTCCTGTTACTATGTGGGTAGGGATAACCTTAGTGAACAACTTTGTACTTCAGCTTTAATTTCTGAGTGTAGTAATTTGCATTACAATGGTGAATACTTTCCGTCTTACCACTATCCAATAGACCTTTCTCAATAGGTGGGAACTCTAGAGAATAAGCGTTCCAGCCAGTGTAGGTCATTGTTGTATACAAACCAGACCACCATGTCAAGATATCAGCTATCGACTGTTAATAAAGATTCCAAGAGGTCAACCAAGTGAAAAGTGATCTCATAATAGAAAAAAATGCAAAAAAGAAAACTGAATTGAATACCAAGATTGGAAATAAAGCCGGTAAATGCATTTCTATTGCTTAAACAACGAAGATTCAATCGTAAAAGAGTGCAAAAACTAACAATCCATCCGAAGGTGATGTATTCAGTATACAAGTTAATGAGAGAAACTGGATATAAATATAGTCATCAGCGGTTAATTGAACTAGATATCTGTGGAAATATTAGCCTCGAAAAGGAGCTTTTACTAACCATATTCCTAGCCACTGGTCATGCGTCCCACTCCAGTAGGAATCACCTATTTAGATATTCATAAACAATAAATCAACTCTTCTTCTTTGTGAAGCTATGTTAAGAATGATGCTAGGACTGATGTTCATAACTCTGTTAATTCAAATTCAAATCTGAGGTGCGATGACATTAAACACCCTACACACAGATCTCTACATTATAGAAACAGACAGAACCTCAGGCAGAAGTGCCTCGGTTCAACTTGCCACTTACGTAGAACAGAAGTGTATGCGGGGGGGGGGGAGAAGAAGTCTGATCTTGCGCGAACTTGACAGATGCAGAGGCCAATCACTGGTTATCCGTACTTGTTATATACCCACGACTGCAAGAACAGGAAGGAACACAATAAAGTAGTGACCAGGTGGAACAGTATATTTAATAAATCGTGCCAAACTACCGATGGGTTCTGACTAACTGGCTAGGGGATCGTTTAGGAGCAACACAACGTGATAAATGCCATAGATGCTTGGTCGTGTAACTTAGCTAGTCGGTCAAAACTATGAAGGTCAGCATCAATGTTGTATCTTGTCAACCTCTAAGCCATTGATTTTAGGGGATTATTTGCAGCTACAACATCAAAGAGTTATCCTTTTGCGCCATTGTAACCGATTTTCAGTCATATCACCAAGGTTTCTCAACCACTGTGTTTCCTATAATGTCAGAGATCCTAGCGAGACAGCTAGGCTACATCTCCCAATGGGACTCAGACTAACAATCATGGACTTTGTCGACTGCTGCCACGTTCTGACTACTCTGAACTCTCTTCCAACCTTAACCAACTTCCGCTTAGCGTTGTACATGGAGGTAGGCGTTAGGTCGGCATGCGCAGTACATGTTTCAACCATATCAGTCGCTCAGGGTTCACAACCTTATAAATCTTGTCTAGTACCCTTCGCCTAACATCAACATTGCTCCACATGATAAAAAGAATGATTAGTAAAGGAAAGAAAGATTAAAAGTATTGAAACTTTCAGTGTTAAGTGTAAATGGAGATCGAGTTGAGTGGGTTTAAGTTTCTCCTAGTTGAATATGATAATTCATCCAGTGTTGTGTTTGTGCAATGAATTTATGAACATGAAAGCCACGATATGAAAAAGATAAAGTCTGGAGATGATGACTCATTTATGTATGTGTGAAGACAGAGATGTGTATGTGTGTATTTGTGTACTCTGGAGCAAATTATCGTTATGTAGTGATGAGTGAATGTTACGTAAATGTCAGAAATGATTACTAGTAGTCAGGTCATACATAGAACAACTAACGTATGAGAATAAACAATTATCATTGAAACTCAGGAAACTAGATGAAGGACCATCGTAGACAAAGTGGAGGGATATATTTAGCTTGAAAACACCAGAATATCTTGTATTAATTCATCCGGCTTCTGCTATAGGTAGGAGATGTAGGCATACCCGTAATGACAGGCTACAAGGAACGTGATACATCAGAGAAAAGGCTTAATCTAACTTGATGTCCACTACTTACTAAGTGTATTGTTTATACACTTTGTTCATTTCCTTAGCCTTGTTAGCAAAATATTGAAAAGCTCGTATGGGTAAAACCTTCTTAGTGGACTTGTACAACTAGCTCCACTGGAGCAACTTAACTTGCAAATATGCATTGAGATGACCAGTATGATAACCTACACTTGATTCTTTGTAGTTTAGTTCAAAAGCTGGTGAAAATCTTGCTGCAGCGAATGTTCTTTCAGCAGATCTACTTAGTTGGTATGTTGCGTTACCATACAAGGGAGGCGCCTCAGAAGCATTACGAAGAATTCTCAATCAGACTGGCTGGGATTAAAGTGGCATTTAAACTAACAAACTCGTCTAGAGATCAGATTCAATTAGAATAACAGAGAACAAAACCTTGGCTAAATCAAGTTTACTAGGTCGTAATAAGACAAGAAATTTAGACGAAAGGTTAGCTGGCTATAACTTTGCATCCAGTTGCACGCAGTCAATCACAACAGGGTGGGATAGAGTGACCATATTAAAAACTAAGTTGGGTGCGGGGAGAAATTGATAACCGAACCAAACAAATGTAATCGACATGATTCTACGCCTGCCCCAGATATATAGAAAATCCCACTACCCTTTTCATCACAGCGAAGGCGAGAAAATTAGAGCTATATAGACTCTGTCTCAAAGTTGTAAAACTACGCGATGTGACTATGGACAATAATTTGCGTTCCCAAATGTTGTTATCCAGTGAATAATTCTGTTTTACAGACTAAAATGGAATAACAAACTACCACAGTGCCCAATTTTTACTCCTTTATTAGAATGATAAACTGTTGTATTGCTCTTCACCACAGTTGAACATCAAAATTGGTGGAGACACTGTTGGGTATATTCAAAGGCTTTTATTTGTTGAAGCCTTTTTCACAAACAATGAAGATGGCATCGACAATAGTGGTTTATCTCATTAAATATATCCTTAAATGCACCGTTCTTAGCTTCGTTAGGAAAATATCAGCTAGTATAGGACCCATAACGGGGGCCTATTACTACCCCATCCACTTGTCACACTACTGTAAAGAAATGAACACAATAAATTATTATGCATGAGTGTATGTGAAATCTTCTAGTCCTTCCATATAGGTGAGTAACGACAACACTGAAAGAAGTCAACAGAGCTGCGAGCTTACAATACACTTTTGGCACTGATACCACATTACAATTCGATGTCGATCAAGCAACCACAAGAAACAAACATTTAACTAGCCATCGACACCGTTTAGGAAAGCTATTGCTGACACTATTTGTTGTTTAACGCTCGCTTGATGGTCGGTCTCAACTGGAGACTACCTTGGTGGTTAATATGTAGCTGATAATCAGACTGAAACATTGGTATCCTTAATTTCATTCACCTTCATTAAGAGTATTAAACTTACAAGTGGAAAAATGGATAAAGATGAAGATTGGTTGGGTTAATGAGATTAGAATAAACAGGGAACAGTAACGCTTTTCGAATACATTTTCTTGTTGCTTTGAGCCTTGATTAAACGTAAACATTGTTTCAACACCTAGAGGTTGTGCTTAATAAATCGATCAATGCATTATCATCCATCAACATAGGACCAGGCATTACTGCGTAATCTATTTCCAGCCAAGTCACCTACAGCCCTATCATTTCGACGATCTCCAACCGCATAGCTTATTGATATCTCTTACACTGCTCAGAACGATAGTCAACTGGTACCACAGTTTGGTGTATTCCCAGGATAGTTACAAGAAGTTGTAAATATGGACCATTAGATTCCGACCCAGTGGTTAGCTCAACGGTAACGCACTGGCCACGGGACCTGAGTTCGTTCCCTGAAGGCCTCATGGGTACGCACTGATGAGGAGACCCCAACTAGGATAAAACAGCTGTCCAGTGCTCCCAGGTTTCCAATGTCCCTCCAACTGATGTCAGTCCATGATAAATACCAACTTGGAATCACTAAATATTCATTAGTTGTCCTTTGGATTCCTAGTGGAACACTAGGCTTCAGTAGCACATCACCATTTCACACTCTTCTCTGCAGTCTCTTCAACCTGGCTCCACCACTCCTCACAACCTAACATTTCCTCCTTACACCATCTCACCCTCGGACGCACAACTCCTTCTTCCCCATTTGGGTTCCACCCGAGGCCCTGGCCTGGTGCGTGATGTCCCAAACCGTCTGTCTTCTCAGTATATGTCAGTCCAGTCCAGTCTAATCCATCTCCACTTTCTTCTTCTACATGTTTGTTGGGCGATAGGTTCTTGGTTGATTGGTACATTGAGAAGCCAGAGTGAGTTTCCTGTTGCTGATTCCTATTATTCTGCCCTCCTGATATGATCTTTAGTATGGAGTGAACGTAGGAGGCAGCTGTTCACATGGTGCATGTGTGTAGTTTGTTGGGAATGCTTTCCGTAATGCGCCAACTCTCTCAACCATCACATAGAAGCACCGACTTGACTGGCATTAGTGTTGGAAATCCGAATGTTGTTCATGCTTTATTGTGAGTGCAGTGCAGTAGATCTGCACACTGTTTATTTCAGGTCAGTGCAGGAAGGCCTGTCTTGTTGTCTTCCCGATCCTCGCTGACTTCGACATCCTCATCTATGCTGCCTGTAGTTGAAACGATGCTGCATAGGTAGGTAGGTGGGTAGGTGAAAGAAACAATTTCGTTTAGATATCTCCCATTGATGGTTGGATATCTTCGTCACGTGTGTCTTCTGTAGGTTCTGCTGGAGGAAGTCCCGTCTTCGCTGCCCTGGTTGTTTTGCCAACTTGTTGGGTTCACTTGTAGATCTTCGAGTTTGTGCGACATTAGACATAAATCATTATCTTGGGCGAATTCCAAATCTTCTAGGATGTTTTCATCAGTCATACAGGGTATACCCATCTTCTTGCTCCTCACGGTTTGTTGTATGATACAGTCTACTCAACAATAAATATTTGTATGATTGTAAATATTCTGTAATCAGGAAAATCCCCGTTGCGATGTCTACAACTGGTTCTTTCGATATTAGTCTTCGTTTTGTGTATACTTGAAGACTTATTGGATTGAATTCGGCAGATTGACTTATTGCTAGCAGTGAAAGAGATGATCGGTCTAAATATTTGTATTCACACTTCCCTCTGTGAACTCAATAGGTTGAATTTTCGATAAGAATTTCTTATGATACTGAAATCCTACCTGATCTCGATTAGCGGGGAATTTTTTTTGTACGACAAGCCTGATCGTATCCTCGAATATCTTTTCAAAGTTTATGAAAGTAATATATAAAGGGAAATCTTCAACGACGTAGGCATCTTTGACAATCAAAGCTATTGGGTTACAATTAAACAAACTTTCAGTAAGTGGAAATACTAAATTTCTTAGGAACTGCCAGTTTAAATCTCACACAGCCATATTTACCTTCAATCATCACACAGTATCAATACAAGTCTGCAGAAACATGGCTATCTCAGCTAATCAAACTGATAATCAGCATGAGAAGTATTTTAGACCACACGTTGTTGAGTGCAGAAAATATTAGAAATCAAATCACTCAGTAAACCTTTGGGGAAACCCTCGGTAGATGTAGCAGGATTCGAACTCGTGACTCACTGAATAATAAGCCTTGTGGATATTTTAAAATTGCCTGGTAGATTCACCATATAGGAAAAAGACTCATCCGATCGATCTACGCTTGAAAACAGATTTTGGTTAGTCAATAAAAAGTTTATTTGTATATGCATATATAAATAAATGGAGTAAACTTTGAACATGATCACATCAACATTTCCGAGACTTTTTCTTTGCCTTTATCTCTATCTTCTCCTCTTCATCATGTTCTACAAAGAAAAAAGTAACAATAAGAGAATGAAAACAAAACTGTTTATCGGCATAAATATGCAAGTTTTGCAAAATTTTTCTTCTATATAGTGTTGTAACCAAAACAATACTGAAATCTTGAAGCTGATGGATAGTTGTTGTTTCACTCAAATAACTCCTCTTTGAGTAGTGTAAAAATAGTCAACGAATAAACTGATATATCTTCTCAATCTCTCAGTGAATTTGTCATTAACCGACTGATGTATCAAAGAAACCAGGGTGAATACACCACTGAGGCATCTCAAGTTATCATGTAAAAGAAAACTAGTTAACAAGGAACTAACTATTCTATTGATGAAGAAATCTTCATTAGTTCCCAGTTTGCTTCACTATTGATAAAGAATATGTATCCCAGCTTCTAATACTGATTAATGGAGTTTACTCCTAAATCTTGACTGGTATCTCTATGCACCATTACTTATGAGCCAAAAAAAAATATCAAATTAGAATACACATACACACAAATCACCTTCATTTGAAGATCGTTTTCGTTTACACGATTGATTAGGTGAGGGACTTGTATCCAGATTGAAATTTTCCCCTTTTGAAGATGACTGAGGTGATACATCTAGTTTTAATTTCTTTTTAACTGGACCACTCCATGCTATACCAAGAGCATCATGTGTAGCTTTGTGTAGATTACGACGTTCCCGGATAATACGTGCACCTAATGATGCTCGTGTGCATATAATTTGAATTAATTGATGATTTCCACCACCAAGTTCTTGAGTTAAAGCAGATTCAGTAGATTCAATTAAATCTACTAATTGATCTGGTCCTGCTTTAGCCATTCCAGCAGATACTGAAGTAACAAGACTTTGAGCAGATTCTGGTCTTATTGTACCTGACATCAGAGCACGACGAAGACGAGCCTAAAAATGTATTGAAAAAAGTGAATAGCTGAAAGACATTTTCCACAATGGATCTGGATGACAGAGAGAAGCGTTAAGAGTATATTTTATTATTATTTGTCCCTCGGGTTCCTAGTGGAACATAGGGCTTCAGTAGCACGTCTCCATTACACTCTGTTCTCTGAAATTTCTTGAACCTGGCTCCACGACAGCCGACAAGCTCTCGTTTCTTCCTCACACGACCTCCTCCACGTCACCCTCACCTCGGACGCCCAACTCGTTGCTTCCCATATGGGCTTCACTCGAAGACCTAGCCTGACACGTGATGTCCCCAGTCGGCCTTCTCAGTGCATGCCCAATCCATCTCCACTTCCACTAACTTCTGCATATTTGTTGAGTGATAGGTTCTTGCTTTGTTGGTTCGCCGCCAGCCAGCCAGAGTTCCTTGTTGTTTATTCTTATTATTCTGGCCATCTGATCTGAGCTTCAGTAAGGAGCCAGTGTAGGGAGCTGTTGTTGATGAATGTCTGTAGTTTGTTGGAAATGCCTTTCGTAACGCGCCAAGTCTCTCAACCATCACATAGAAGCACTGACTCGCTTGATTGAATTGGTGTTGAAAATCCGGAAGTTGTTCATGCTTTATGCTGAGTGTGGAAGATCTCCACTCTGGTTTCAGGTTAATGAAGGAAGGCCTACCTTACTGTGTTTCCGATGCTGGCTGAATTTGACCTCCTCGTTTGTGTCGCCTGTGGTTGAAACAGTGCTGCCTTTAAGTTTCTCCTGTTGATGGTGATTGGAGCTTGTTGTTGTAGTTGGTGGTGGCGTTGGTTGGGTATCATCATCATCATCATTTAGTCCATCTTTCATCCCACTACGGAAGGGGGTACTATTCATAAATTCAGCCACTTTGATAAGTACCTCAATCATTCTTCAATTTTTTTTTTATCTAGGAACACTCTTAATTTCTTGAAAACTATTGAACTCAAATACGTTGAGAATGTTGCTTATGAAAATTACTAATAAAATATTAACTAACCTGTGCTCTTCTTCTTCTAGCCTTTGCTCTTACTGTAAGCTCTTTTGATAAATAATTACCACGAAGTCGTATTCTTGCACCAATATCTGTATTCTCATCATTAATATTAGTTGATAAAGAGGAAGCTGCTATAAATGCTAATCGTTCACGTTGACGAAATTCTCGACTGAGTAACTTTGATGCAGATCTTAAGTAAGCAAAATATGCAGGAACTTCTTCTTTCTTTTTCAATGTATCATCAGTTATTAATTCATTCACTTTATCATTAGATTTTGTTAATGAAAACATATCAAATAATATATTTGTATCTGGATGAGGTAAACGTAACAATAGGCCAGTAATCAATTTTAATGCCATTAACCTCTAAAAAACAATTATATGAAGTAAGAGAAAAGAAAATAGAAATGTACTCATAATGAAAAATTTTTACAAAATTTAAAAACTCGTGCATCAGAACCATACAGACAAAATCAACATAAAACATTGAACACAAATGTACATCGGTTCAAGTTGACATACTTTACACTAGTATCAACCATATCACCTAAAGTCCTTAACCACTGATTCCATTCATCTTGAGTACTGAACTATACGCTTTAGGTCAACAAATCAGAGATTTTATCGATTAGTGCCAAGTTTTGGTCTAGTCACTCTGAAACCTCTTCCAAACTAATCCAATTTCTTCTAGTATGCCATGTCAAGGTAGGCGATGGCATGTAGCATGCTCACTACATGTTCAAGATATCTCGGTTGCTTAAGTTTCATAACCTCATCAGTTGATTTTGACACTATTTTACACAGTGAGTCCACTAAATGCGAGCAATCATGTGACCGCCTCGTGTCTTTTGCTTTCAATGACCATTTAATAGAATGTAGTATACTCTTTTTCTTTGTCAAATAATCGGATATCTCGCCACGCTAAGCCACAGGTGAGGCAAGTTAGCAAATGCCAAACAGTCCTTCTGTGATCGAGTTGAGATTGTCAGTAACCAGTCCGATCAAACTGGTGAAAAAATTACACAAGATACGATATTTCGCAGTCATTAGTACAAAATGTTAGCGTATCGAGTCATCGAATGTTGTTAAACGAGATCACTGACATTTACTACACAAACAGATCAGTGCGAACAACTTAATATTCCTTTAAAAGTAATAGACACAATATGGTTGCCTTTTAAACGTTTAGATAAGTAAGGTTCTACTCAACAAAAATGTCACACAAACTGATGAAGATGTCTAGTATTATGCTGAAACATTTTTGATTCAATCAAAGCACTTATATCTTGAGAGACTCTTATAGTCATAAGGACAGAGAATCTATGGTCAATTTCTCACTTCCATCACATTCAGTATAAGTTGAAAAAAGTCAGTGATTTCTCTAACCCTTTGAAAGGTTCATTTCTTTCTAATCGCTTGGCGAATACTGTAAAACAGTTGAAGATTGATACTACGTCTTTAGGTCAAAGGGCATAACATGTTCGAAGGGATACAGGTAAGAAGACAAATTCTAACAAAAATTACTCCCAATTTAACCTACTGTTATCCTCTATCCGGGATACGCTGGACTGATGAAAAGAACCTAGAAGATTTGGATTTCGCTGATGACTTATGTCTAATGTCACACAAACTTGAAGATCTAAAGGCGAATACTAACAAGTTGACTGAAGAGGCAGCGAAGATGGGACTTCAAGTGAACATAGAGAAGACAAGGTGATGAAGATACCAAACCAACAACGCCACAAACTACAACTACAGGCTCCAATCACCATCAACAGGAGAAACTTAAAGGAAGTAGTCTCTTTCACCTATCTAGGCAGCACTGTTTCAAATACAGGCGGTACAGACGAGAACGTCAAATGCAACCAGCATCAGAAACAGCAAGACAAGCCTTCCTTCATTAACCTGAAACCAGAGTGGAGATCTTCCACACTCAGCATAAAGCATGAACAACTTCCGGATTTTCAACACCAATTCAGTCAAGCGAGTCAGTGCTTCTATGTGATGGTTGAGAGACTTGGCGCGTTACGAAAGGCATTTCCAACAAACTGCTGACATTCATCAACAACAGCTCCCTACACTGGCTCCTTACTGAAGCTCAGATCAGATGGCCAGAATAATAAGAATAAGCAACAAGGAACTCTGGTTGGCTGGCTGACTGGCTGGCGACGAACCAACAAAGCAAGAACCTATCACTCAAGAAATATGCAGAAGTTAGTGGAAGTGGAGATGGATTGGGCATGCACTGAGAAGGCCGACTGGGGACATCACGTGTCAGGCTAGGCCTCGAGTGAAGCCCAGATGGGAAGCAACGAGTTGGGCGTCCGAGGTGAGGGTGACATGGAGGAGATGATAATAATAATATCCCCTATCGAATAATAATAATCATAAAACGAGGGTTAGAAACCAATGATAATAGTGAATAAATTTAATACTAACTTGACAATAATATTGTGGTCTGTTGTTTAATTCATCCAGAGCAATTTTATTTGCTACACGAAATATTCTTAGAACAGGTTTACGACCAACTGTTAAATGTAATAACTGGCCTAAATATATCAAGTTGGATACAATCTAGGAGAGAAATGATACCAGAAAGTAGAAGAAATTGAGACAGACAATCATTACAAAAAGAAATTAACATTATATTTTTTCAACTTTAGAAACAATTCGATAAGGATTATTCACGTTTATGCAAGAAACAATCACTTCTCATCATAGGAGATGAGAAGTGCAGATAGTTTCACTGAATGAAGTGAAGGATGTATACTAGTCATATGTTTCAGAGTAAGATGGATAGTGGCTAGCAGTGAATCCAATTCTAGCGTTTAAAGTGGTCAGTCCCGAGTTCGAGTCGTGGCGGGAACAATATCACTCACTGAAACGCAGTTATATCCAGCCAACGAGGCTCAACAAGGATAAAACCAGCGTCAAGCTAGATTCCCATGTTAGCCACTACACATCATTAATATTAAAACTGAAACTATGGGCAATATAGAAGCATCCGTGTAGAAGCTCATATTGCCCAAAAGAGACCGATCGATTCGGTCCAATCAACAATAGGATAATACAAGCAATAATATCAACTTTAACATTCGATATCCTTTAAAACTATTCATGTGTACATCATACAGCACAACCGATAGATAAGCATAACCTAGATCCATTTAGAGCCTTGAGAGTTCTACGAATTCGGTGTATGTATCAATATTTAGCAAGTCTAGTATTCACTCATGTTTCAACCGACAAAAATCAGGACTGCTCAAAGATTTTAAAGTGTTCAGTGAAATGAATGAAGTTGATGCACCATATCATTTAGGATTTTTTTCTCTCCTACTACAACTACACAAATTGTTAGACTGAAGAATACCAAGTAGGCGTAAAACAACTGACAATTTCACTCCATGGTATACAAAAGTTAACATACCAGTTGAAAATCTTAAGGTATTCAGAGCATATACTCAATAAAGTAAATAAAACTAGTTGTCTTGAATACCATCGACTGTTTGACAGGTAATAAGGCCTTAATGTAAATAAACATCAAGGTTCAAAACCTCGTCAACTGACTTACCTCTTCTCCCCAAACCTCTACACCTGACTTCTGCATTACTCACATGGTGACACCACGGAATACGTGAGTAACGCAGAAGTCAGGTGTAGAGTTTTGGGGAGAAGAGGTAAGTCAGTCGACGAGGTTGTGAACCTTCATCGACTGAGATAGCTGGTTGGGACATGTACTACGTATGCCTAGTCACCGATTGCCTCGTCACACAATGTTGGCTGAGGTGGTTCCAGGCTGGAGAAAGGCCCGAGGTGGCCAGACTAAAACATGGCACCAATGTATAAAGTCTCTGACTGTTGGTTTAAGCCATGTAAGACGATGCAGACTAGGTGGTTGGGGTCCGCGGGATAAGAGGAATCAGTGGTTGGAGACCCCAGGTGATATGGCTCAGAACCGATGTCAGTGGCGCAGATGTATCCCCACACATTATCCTCATCTTAACAACGCTACACCGAATCTCACCATTTTGTTACTCCTCTTTCCTTTCTTCTTGTACTTTATATTTCTTTTGACTGCATTCACTTATCTTCATCCTTTACCTCACTACCTTTCTACTTGATGAACTGACGTGAGGTGTGGCAAGTTGGACCGTTACGCAGTAATGCCTGGTCCTATGTTGATAATGATGATAATGTAAATAAACCAGCCTTATGACTGTGATCACATTGGAAGCTAATTCAATTTTAGTCTGTTTATTAAGTGTCACATAGTGAAACACTATTGTGTACTGGATCTTGTAGCCTAGTTGATAAAACACTGACTTGGTAACTCCTAGGCTTTTCGTTCGAATCCGATCGCGACTCAAATTGTATGAATTTATGACTTAGTGGATAAAGTTATGGCATTTCAAGTACATGATTCCAAAGTCCGAGTCTTATCCAGTAAACAATACTGTTCCATTGTATGATATATCTATTAAGTCGATTAAAACAGAATTATATTAACCAACAGTGCTCAAGTTGTACTCTCACTCTTGTTCATCTGCTTTGTACATAAAAAAAAAACCTCTACGAAAATGTCTGCCCCAACCTCCTGATAAAAAAAACTACATTAAAAACAAATAATCTTTTCTTTTATAAAATAAAAGTGAAATATTTCAATTTGAGAAGAAAAAAAAGAAGTAATTACCGAATTCGACCATTCCTCTGAAATGGGAACACGAGCATCAACCTCTAATTGGAATAATAAACCATCAAGTAGTCTCTGTAACTATTTGAAAGTGAACAGAAAAACAATTGACATCATATTACTATGAAAAGCAAAAGTATGAATGTATTATTTACTATTACGTTTGAAATATGCTTCCTTCTCTTAAAACTACTTTAGACGTCTACAGTAGTTCCCCCAAATCAAAGAGATTCACACTGATCTATCTGCATAGTTTTAATAGGACTAGTAGAGCTGATGACAAATGGTTAAGTATCCATGTTGTCATTTTACAATGCATTGCTTGTACAACACAATTCTCTCTAACCAGTTAGTCGAAGCGCGAATGTATTCTAGGCACCATCATTACCTAGTCATGTTATTGTATTCCTTTGTGTTCTCGCACTGATGGGTATTCTATAAGTACGAAGAATAAGTAATTGGCCTCTGTGTCTGTAATGTTTGCATAAGACTACTTTTTAAACTATAGCGCTTATTCAACTTCGGTCTTAACCGACAAACATTTATAAATTCAACGTTATTGCTTGTATTATTATCCTATCGTTGAGTATATTAATGATAGATAGTAGTGGCTAGCAGTGGAATCCAGCTTGATGAGCGTTTCTTCCTGTTTGAGACTCATCAGCCGGATGATGTATCTGCTTCTCAGTGAGTGATCCCAATGTCAGCTGTTATCCATTATTATTATTATGTTAACGATAATTTAATACGGAGACTTGTGATTCAGTGAAAAGAGTTTTTTATCAGAATGAATGAATCATGGAAAACCTATGAGTATTGCTTTGTTTAAGTTTGAGAAACATAACCAGTCCACGCCAAAAGAGCCGAGACTATTAATGCTTACGATGAGTGTCTTACCATTACATCAATGAATCGGAATCTAAAATTCGCACTATAGTACGATCATTAACCAATATCACCCCATGACTATCTGTTCAAGATTCCAAAATGACAGAAGTAGGCAATAGAAGACGATTTCATTCTGGTTCAGTAGTTGAATGGTTACATGTTCACTGAGAGAATAAACACTACTCGACTTCATCCTTTACTGGGCTCGTATGTAGGTGTGTGTTGTTGAAGAAACTCGAACTAGGACAATAAAGTTGTCCAGCGTTCTTCAGTCGATGAAACTTGTTACCAATACTTATTGGGATGGATTATTATTCATTTCACACTCAACAACCTTCAATGGAGTGTTTTATGTCTTCTTCTTTGTTTCATATTCAAATCATGATGATTGGTAGAATTCAGTCAGCGCCTAAGACTGGTGAATATACAATCAACTACTGTCTCGTGATGAATCTTCACTTTAAAAAATAACCTGCGGATCGAATTGAAACGCTACGCATCATCACAGAACAGAGCGTAGAATGATAGTCATCTGTTTACTTCAACTTCATCGACTTTGAAAACGACTTCATAGCGTCGACCGAGAAGTAATTTGGCAGCTTCTTCAACACTAAGGTTTTAGTGCCACAAACCTTGATCAACCGCGTTAAACAGCAGCTATATACTATATGATGCTACATACCAAGTGATTTGTAATGGAAAGCTAAATGATACCTTCGAAGTGAAGACAGGAGTGAGACAAGGTTGCCTGTCACCGATCATCCACCTGATTAAGGTCGACTGGATCATGCAACAAACTTTGAAGAGCAAGAAGATGGGTATACCCTGTATGACTGATGAAAACATCCTAGAAGATTTGGAATTAGCCCAAGATGATGATTTATGTCCAATGTCGCACAAACTCGAAGATCTACAAGCGAAACCAACAAGTTGGCAAAACAACCAGGACAGTGAAGACGGGACTTCCTCCAGCTGAACCTACAGAAGACACACGTGACGAAGATATCCAACCATCAACGCGAGATATCTAAACGAAATTGTTTCTTTCACCTACCCACCTACCTACCTATGCAGCATCGTTTCAACTACAGGCAGCATAGATGAGGATGTCGAAGTCAGCGAGGATCGGGAAGACAACAAGACAGGCCTTCCTGCACTGACCTGAAATAAACAGTGTGCAGATCTACTGCACTGCACTCACAATAAAGCATGAACAACATTCGGATTTCCAACACTAATGCCAGTCAAGTCGGTGCTTCTATGTGATGGTTGAGAGAGTTGGCGCATTACGGAAAGCATTCCCAACAAACTACACACATGCACCATGTGAACAGCTGCCTCCTACGTTCACTCCATACTAAAGATCATATCAGGAGGGCAGAATAATAGGAATCAGCAACAGGAAACTCACTCTGGCTTCTCAATGTACCAATCAACCAAGAACCTATCGCCCAACAAACATGTAGAAGAAGAAAGTGGAGATGGATTAGACTGGACTTGACATATACTGAGAAGACAGACGGTTTGGGGACATCACGCACCAGGCCAGGGCCTTGAGTGGAACCCAAATGGGGAAGAAGGAGTTGTGCGTCCAAGGGTGAGATGGTGTAAGGAGGAATGTTAGGTTGTGAGGAGTGGTGGAGCCAGGTTGAAGAGACTGCAGAGAAGAGTGTGAAATGGTGATGTGCTACTGAAGCCTTGTGTTTCACTAGGAATCCAAAGGACAAAGAAGTCACAGATAGCAGCAACATTTATATGGAAGAGTTTTACTTACGCCTTGATGATTGTTGATGATGTCAAAAAATGCCTCTAACACAAGGGAACACATCAGACAGAAGGAGATATGGAACTGAAGTAGGAAATATGAACCATTGAATTCAGAACTAGTGGTTAGCTCAATGGCAACGTGGGCACCACGGAAGCTGAAGGTCCTGGGTTCGATCCCCGAAGAGTGGGGTCATGGGGCTCATTGCTGAAGAGTCCCATACTAGGACGAAACAGCTGTCCACTATTCCCACATTTCCAATGTTTTTCTAACTGGTGTCAGTCCATGATGATATCAACCTAAAATCAAATAGTAAACCTACGCAAAACCTTCAGATAGAATTAATCGAGCGTTTATTGATGATTAGTTTCGAGAAATGATTCTCGAAGTTTCAATGAGAAGTCGTGGCCAGTGGAGCTAACCAAGTTGAACATGAAGACAGTTACTCAACGACGACCGATAGCTGCTACCTTGACGTGGTGGTCGGGCTTGCATATCACAATGACCCGACAAGCTATGCTGGTGGAATACTTGTCCCCTCGAGGTCCTACCATGCCAGAGGTCTGTTGGATAGTGGTTCGATGAAAAGCAGTTACGGTTGTGGCGTAAATTACCACAGTATGATGGGGTCTGAGAGCAAAGTCGTAGTGATGCTAGCTGAATGGGATGTGACAGCAGTAAGGTATTTCCCTTGGATGACCAGCAGTGCTATGCTGATGCTGCCTTCTCAGTGGAAGTGGGGTTATAAAAGGTCGCAGAAAACTCACTACTAGACTGGATCCCATTTGATAGTCGCCTCTGCGCTATGAGGCTGAATGGCACAGTGAGAACTAAAAGGAATAGTGAGACTCGCCGTTGTCTCTTTGTAATCTCTGCTTACGCACCCACTGACTGTAGTTAGGACAAAGTGAAGGATGAGTTCTACCGTAAACTGTCTAACCCCCTCTCGAAAGCCAAACGTTCGGACGTGGTAATTGTTGCAGGTGACTTCAATGCACAGGTGGGTAGACTGAGTGAGGCAGAAAGGAACTTAGGTGGTACTTTCGGAATCCCAGCTGAATGTACAGATAACGGTGATCGCCTACTTCAACTAAGCTCAGTTAACCGCCTATTTTTAGCCAGCACCAATTTCAGACATAAAGAAAGGCACTGTCTGAGGTGGCGTCCACCGAGCTCACCTCAGCGATGAACACAGATAGACCATATTGCTATTAGTCATCTCTGGAGAGGATTGGTGGAAGACTGCCGCTCCTTCTGGAGTACGTGTTTGGATAGCGATCATGCGTTGGTCCGAGCACGTATATGCCTGCGTCTCAATGGACGTAAGAAAAATTTGGCAAAAAGAACCATTACGAGTGCTGCTGGAAAACGGAAACACCAAAGCTGTGTTCAGTGGGAAGTTGGCTAGACAGTTATCGGAACAAAATACTGTCACTCATCCAGAAGAAGCTTGGTGACATCTTCAGTCTGCTGTAAAAGCAGCACTGAAGACTGTAACCGACTCCAAAATAATGGCTAAAAAGAGCCAGTGGATATCAGCAGCTTCTTCCGAACTAATGGATGCACGTGAACGCATCCCTACAGGTTCTGAGTACAACGAAGAGCTAGCGCAACTTAAAAGCAGATTCAGAAAAAGTCTACGCAACGATCGCTAAAGAGATGGAAAAAGCAGTGGCGATTGGAAATAGTAGACAGTTATTTAGACTTATTAGGGAAACTGGGGAAAAAAGGTTGATCGCGGTTAGTGAGACCATAGCGGAGAAGGAAGGATCTGCGATTCACTCTCTGAAGAGACGACTGGAACGATGGGTGGAACACTTCGAGGAACAGTTTAACTGGCCTCCAGCCACCATTCCGCTGCCTGCTATCCAATCGGATCCTGAATGGGACATAGAGACAGGCCCCTCAACACTAGAAGAAGTTGAGAAAGCGGTAGGTAACCTGAAACGAGGAAGGGCAGCAGGACCAGACGGACTACCTCCTGAGGTATATACAAGGATGGCGGTAGAGTGCTCTTAGCCAGGTTAACGGAAGTGTTAGCCAGTATATGGGAATCAAATACTGTTCCCCACTGACAGGTCTAAATCACTGATTATTCCAGTCCTCAAGAAAGGCGAGAAGTCCTCTTGTGATAACCACAGAGGAATCAACCTGACGAACATAGTGTTCAAGATTCTAGGTTCTATAATTCTTCGACGCCTGAGTAGAGCTCGGGAACAGCAATCCCGAGAAAACCAGGCAGGCTTTGCACCCGGTCGCGGGTGCATCGACCAAATATTGGCACTGCGCCAGGTCCTGGAACGTAGACAGGCTTAATGACGCCCAACAATAGCTGTATTTCTCGACTTGAAGGCACCATTCGACTCCATTGATCCAGAAGTCTTATGGCAATGTCTCTCACTGAAAGGCGTACTGACTAAGTACATCACCTTATTGAAGGCTCTCTACTCGAACACTTGTGGGCATATTAAAACCTATGGTGAGATGTCCAGGGAGATATGCTCATCGAGTGGTGTCCGTCAAGGATACCCACTGTCTCCATTCTTATTTAGTTTTATCATAGATTTTCTTATAGAGGTCTCCCTCTCGTTACCTGATTACACAGAGGTTGACGTGATCATGGGAGAATTTTCGTTAGACCTAGAATATGCAGATGACATAGTTCTGTTAGGTGAAGACGTTGACAAGACTCAGAGTCTTCTGAAAAATTTGGGAATGTTTGGGATGCGTTTCTCACCACCCAAATGCAAATTGTTGTTTCACAATTGGTCTTCAACGGTGCCACAACTAACAGTTGAGAGTGTAGTGATTGTGTCGACCACTTCACTTACCTGGGAAGTAGGATCAGCTCTGGTGGGTCAGTCACCGATGAAATCTTTGCACGGATACAAAAGGCTCGATTGGCTTTCGCCAACTTCCGGCACCTATGGAGCCGCCGTGATATCCATTTGTCTATTAAAGGTGGCGTGTACTGTACAACAGTCCGGTCTGTTCTACTGTATGTCTGTGAAACATGGCCATTGAAGGTGGAAGACATGAGAAAGCTTCAGGTGTTTGACCACCACTGCCTTCATAGTATAAGCCGTACTGCATGGTGTCATCACGTGAGTAACGCAAAAGTCAGGTGTAGAGTTTTAGGGAGAAGAGGGAAGTCAGTTGATGCTGTTGTGAACCTTCATCAACTGAGATGGTTGGGGCATTTGTTAAGTATGCCTAGTCGTCATCTGCCTGGTCACACAATGTTGGCCGAAGTAGGTTCAGGCTAGGAAAAAGCCCAAGGTGGCTAGACTAAAATATAGCATCAGTGTACGAAGTCCTTGACTGTTGGTTTCAGCCATGTGGGGGTGATGCAGACTAGGTGGTTGGGATCTGCGGGACAAGAGAAACTCGTGGTTGGAAACTGACTCTAGGTGATGATATCGCTGGGAGCCGGTGTCAGTAGTGCAGATGCATACACACATCATCCTCATCTTGACGAGGCTATACCGAATCTCTCCACTTTCTCATTCTTCCTCTCCCTCTTTTTTATCTTTTTACATTTCTTCTGACTGAATTTTTTCTTCTTCATCTTTCACTTCACTGCCTTTTTATTTGATGGGCGGATATATGAACTATGGCAACTCGGATCATTACACAGTAATGCCTGGTCCTATGTTGATATAGATGACATTGGATGGAGGTGGCACTGTATCGTGAACTGACAGAAGTAGGAAATGTGAGTCATTTGATTCCGACCCTGTGGCTCAGTGGGAAGGTGCTGACCACGAACTGGAAGGTCCTAGGTACAATCTCTAGCGGGGTCGTGGGTGAGCATTGCTGAGGAGTTCCATGGTAGGACGGGACAGCTGTCCAGTGCGCCTAGATCACCAACGTTCATTCAACTGATTTCAGTGTCCTTCCTATCCTCAAATTGAGTTCAAATCGTTCTCTACTATTGAAATATGTAAATCTGTGCAACCCGGTAGAGGTTTATATAATGCACTGAATCGAAGTGCTGTCGAAATCCAGAACTCATTGTTTGAAAGTCTCATTGTTCATTGAAGTAACTTAACTACTCCACCTCGCCACCATTAGATTAGACGGTAATGAATGGAAAACTTTACTATTCTATAGGTTAAGTTGCTTTCATAAGAAATTGACAATAAACACAAATTAAAGATTAACGGCAAAGAGACCAGAATAACACGTTGAAATCAACACCAGTCAAATATCCATATAGGTTCTCAATACATCTTTCTTCATAAACGATAAACTGAATAAATAATCCATCCAACTGTTAACTAATTTTTGCAGTAGAACAAATGTATGTACGTTACTATTTATTGATATACCTGTAATTCTCCGTTGTTTTATTGGATCGAATTGTTCGACGTCTATTGGCATATGGGCTTCTATTCAGATGTCTCGATATTACCAGAATGTTAATGAGAGTCAAACAATTCAATCCAATAAAACAATGAAAAATTACAAGTATATAAATAAATAGTAATAACTACTACTCCATTGTACAAGAAGCGGCTATCATCCCTCCATGTCATAGTGGATAACGCCTTGACGTTTCAATCGATAGGTACGAGGTTCGAGTCTCAGTCCGGACAATATCATTCACTAGGATGTAGATAAATCTAAGTGATGAGTCCCAAATAGGATGAAACATGTGTCCAGGATTCTAAAAAATGCGCTAAAATCTTAAAAACACAAAAAATTTACAAAATTAATGAATAAACTTACAACTTTGTTTAAACCATATTTGCCTTTCTGTAATCGCTTAAATATAGTCGATCTTACATTGATACCAGATGATTCTGAATTCAATGTATTCACATGTTTAACAAATCGTTCCTTATTTGCATTTACTTCTATTTTTAAAAGAAGAGATAAACAACGTGTAGCCCATTCACGTGATTCACGATGACCAGTAACTAAAAGACTAAATTTCTTTGATTTAATTTCTGATTTCGATGTTATTGTTTCAGTAGAGAATAGTGTACTATACTGTTCACGACGTTTTTTCAATGTAATTTGAGCTTTTTTTGATTGAAATTCAGTGATTGGAGGAAGTATTGTATCATATTTTGGTCCATTCAAAAGTATACGCCAGAAAGTAGACAATTTTACTGACGAAATATAAGTTTCTATATCATTTACATCATTCAGATTAGTTTCATCTACTACTTTTGGTCCAATCAAGTAGTAAATCAACTTTAATGATTGTTCCATGGTATAAGCAGCCAAAAAGTATTGGTTTTTAATAGCCTTTTAAATTAAAGATGAAAAGAATATCATAAGAAAAATGTGTACTTATTAACTTGAAATAAAGTTTAAGCTGAATGTTACAAAAAATGGAATGTTCTAGGGTGAAATAGTGAGTTAATTGTAGGTTTACAAGCTGATTGCATAGTTAAGTGTAGTCAGTTTTAAGCGTGTCTCTTTGAAATTTTCTGTAAACTGGATCTAAGCGTTGGTAACTGAGAATATTGTATCGTCTACTGAATACATAAATAATCTAGTTCTGGATATCTTTTAGAATTCTAGTGGAATCAGTCTGCACTAAACTAGAGATGACAACTAGTACGTTTAGTGGTCATTATTCTGTTAGCCTATGAATCATAACAAAGTCAATTATCAACCTTCTAGAGTGAATATTTTCTTCGTTAGACATCAAATATGTAGGATGGAACCACTGAACCGTGGGTTTAAAACTCCTCCACTCCCACTTCGACATGGATGACTAAGTGTATCAAAAATGTGTGGTTCACAGCTTAGTATATAAACCTGTGCCAGATTGATTAACATGAATCTGTACATTAGGATTCTATCTTCTTGTGTAAGACAATATGATCTACTGCGGACTCATCATTCGTCTGGAACTTCAGTTGACTTTTACCGGCCGCCAACTACTCCCTGATTATGTTAAACATAAGCTTACTCGTATGGCCGCCTCTATGTGGATCAACCAGTTCACCTGCTTTTGTGGTGCAAAGTACATCGGCCCATGTTATTTCGCTAAATTGTCTTCTGAGAAAACATTGATTTCATCTTGACTAACTTGTCTAACCCTATTACCAAATGCTGAATTGATTTATCACTTTCATCAATTTTCTCACCTTATTTGAGCTATACACACCTTCTATGAACTTTTCCATATATTATGTATTCTACTTTGTTATCATTCATACTTGTTATTGTCATCATCACCATATAGTGTTGGAGATCCTAGGTGATATGGCTCAGAACCGAAGTCAGTGGCGCAGATGTATACACACATTATCCTCATCTTAACAACGCTACACCGAATCTCACCATTTTGTTACTCCTCTTTCCTTTCTTCCTGTACTTTATATTTCTTTTGACTGCATTCACTTATCTTCATCCTTTACCTCACTACCTTTCTACTTGATGAACTGACGTGAGGTGTGGCAACTCGGACCGTTACGCAGTAATGCCTGGTCCTATGCTGATAATGATGATGATGATGATGAGCGTTTAGTTTTCCTCACACGATATAATTTTTCAAGTATCTTATGTATACGAATGTATAGTCTGAAAATAAATTCGTTGAAAGGAGTCAATCCATTGAAAATTGAATAAAACAGACTATACATAGTTGAAAGACAGGCAAGGTACCTGCAGATTAAAAGAAGGGTTTTCTTGTCAAACTCCTAAAGAAGGGCGACATAAGTTGTCGCAAGAACTGGCGCGGAATCATGCTCCTGTCCACCCCAAGTGGAATATTATGCCGCATCATCCTGGAGAGACTAAAGGATGCGCTGGATTCAAAACTACGATCGGAACAGGCTGGATTCAAGAAGTAAAAATCATGTGCGAACCAAATTGAAACGCTTCGCATCATTATAGGATAGAGTATTGAATGGCAGTCAACCCTCCATCCCAACTTCATCGATTTTGATAGCGTCGACCAAGAAGTAATTTGGCAGTTGCTTCAACACTACGGGATACCGCAAACCTTTATCAATCTCATTCAACAACTATGTGAACAGGCCACATACCAAGTAATTCACAATGGGAAGCTCAGTGATACATCCGAAGTGAAACAGGGCTGTCTACTATCACCCACGGTCTTCCTGATTGTAGTGGACTGGATCAGGCAACAAACAGGGTGGGGCATGAAGATGGGCATACGCCAGCTGGACCGATGAAAAGAACCTAGAAGATTTGGATTTCGCTGATGACTTATGTCTAATGTCACACAAACTTGAAGATCTACAGGCGAATACTAACAAGTTGACTGAAGAGGCAGAGAAGATGGGACTTCAAGTGAACATAGAGAAGACAGAGGTGATGAAAATACCAAACCAACGCCACCACCAACTACAACAACAAGCTCCAATCACCATCAACAGGAGAAACTTAAAGGAAGTAGTCTCTTTCACCTATCTAGGCAGCATCGTTTCAACTACAAGTGGCGGCACAGACGAGAACGTCAAATGCAACCAGCATCGGAAACAGCAAGACAAACCTTCCTTCATTAACCTGAAACCAGAGTGGAGATCTTCCACACTCAGCATAAAGCATGAACAACTTCCGGATTTTCAACACCAATTCAGTCAAGCGAGTCAGTGCTTCTATGTGATGGTTGAGAGACTTGGCGCGTTACGAAAGGCATTTCCAACAAACTGCTGACATTCATCAACAACAGCCCCCTACACTGGCTCCTTACTGAAGCTCAGATCAGATGGCCAGAATAATAAGAATAAGCAACAAGGAACTCTGGTTGGCTGGCTGGCGACGAACCAACAAAGCAAGAACCTATCACTCAACAAATATGCAGAAGGAAGTGGAGATGGATTGGGCATGCACTGAGAAGGCCGACTGGGGACATCACGCACCAGGCCAGGCCCTCGAGTGAAACCCAGATGGGAAGCGACGAGTTGGGCGTTCAAGGGAGGAATGGAGACGTGCTACTGAAGTCCTATATTCCACTAGGAACCTAAGAAACAAACAATAATAATATACCCGTCGCACAAGAGGTGGCTATCGTGGCTCGGTGGCATTTGAAGCGATCGTTCCCGAGTAGCAGTGGGAACAACACCACTCATCGGGAAGCAGGCACATCCAGCTGACGAGTCCTATCATTACTATACAGATTTGAAAGACAGGCCCATATGCCAACAGAGACTGATCAATTCGGTTCGATCAACGACTGTGTAATACAAGCAATAACACTAAACAAAGCGATAACTTACAGATTTTGAAGCTTTAAGTTTTCTAAATGATGTTGACTGTTGTTTGTCAGGAATATCAGAAGGTTGTTGTTCTGTAATTGTCGTAGTAAATGGATCAGAGTGTGTATCAGCATCTAAATCAATATCATTATCATCATCTTCATTACTAATTGACATCTCTTCATCTGATGAAATCATTATTTCAACATCTTCTGCAATCTCTGCATAATCTTCATTATCTGATTGAGTTGTCTCCAGTTTTAAATCACTTATCCACTGAGCATCCTCTTTAATAAGTTTATTTAATAAATATTCTTCTTTAGGATTTTTCGTTTTAGAACCTTTGTTATAGAATTCATTTAAACCACTAGCAATCATTATTGATGGATTAGATAGTACTAACTTATTCACTTGTATAGCTGCAATCGGTAGGACATCATTGCTTAGAATACTGATCAAATTATTACGTAATTTAGAGACTGATAAACATGATTGACTGTCTAGAATAGATATTATCATTTGTAAACCTAATAAACGTGCAGAACATCTTGTCTCTGAAGGAGCTGTTAAAAAAGCTAACAAATAATCATTGAAATATGATTGAGCTGTATCACTGGGTAGTTTACTAAATAAAAGGCGGATAAGATTTAACAGAGTACTACGTGATTTACGATCTGATTCACGTTCAATAGCTGCTCCAACACTTAATAGTATAGCTTCATCCATATGATTTTTACCCATAAGACGAGTAATTGGTAAATCAGAGATTAAACCACTGAGTAGACTAGCTGCTGATAATCTACCTGCTGATGTTTTATACTGAAGTTGTCGAACACAGAATGCAATAAAACTTTGAAGAAATTTAACTTTATGTGGATAATTCAATAGGAAAGTGATTAAGCAACAACGAGCTTCTGAACGAATTTGATCCGATGATGATGTAATCGCTAAAATTTGAAGTCGATTAAATAAATCAAGTAGACGAGATCCACCACTAGCACCTGTATTCAGTTCATGATCACAATCTGATAGTCTAGCAATAATTAATCCTTTAACAGGAAGTTCTTTATTCACTTCAGGATCTATATCAAGATTAAGAAAATTTTCATCATTTGTTTGAATAGATGGATCACGTAATCGACGTTGAAAAATTGCATGAAGTAATGAAAGTGATGGACTGACAATTGCATATCGATCTAATTCAATATCAACTGCATTTAATAATGTTAACAGTTGAGTTTTTGATAATGGATAACCATATTGATGTCGTACTAATGAAGCGAATGCACGATATAAACTTGAAGCAAGATTTTCTCCATAATAATTCGATGATGATATTTTATTTGATAATAAACTATTATTAGGTTGATTAGCTAAAATATCAAATAATTTTTCACCAATTCTATTCAAATATTCATGAAATTTTGGTATTCTACTAACTGTTACCTTAGATGTAGCTATTAATAGTAGAAGTCGAACACATTTTACAGCAACTTCTAATACTTGTACATATATTGAATTTAAACAAATAATAATTGATGGAATCATACTACTTATTAATTGTAAATGATCTAAATTATCTGGTTTCAACCAATGATAACGTATAAGTCCAATGAATAAATGTAAACCACAACAAATCATTAAATGAGATTGTGTTAAACCAGATTGTGTAATAGATGAATTATATTCACGTATTGGTTCATTTTCTAATTCTAAATAATGCCAACGTGGTTCAAGTGGTTTTGATTGTGGTTGTAACCATCTTGAAATATTTTTATTCGAATTAATTACCATTGAATTATTATCAATTATTAATTGAGAATTTTCATTAAGAATTAAAATTTCATTAAGATTTTCATTAACTAATTGTTGAAATAATTTAATAATAGTATTTATATTTGACTTTAAATATTGATTTGAAAAGATTGCATTCTTTGTTGATAGACGAGATAATGTACATTCAAGACGAGCTAATGCTCTATGCCGAAAACGAAGTCCACATCCAATAGATAGAGAAGATGATTTCAAATTATTTACACTTGTAGATTGATTATTCAACATTTGTTCTAATACACTACCAGAGACAGCACATGAAAGAGCTATTTTAATATCATTGAATAAATTAATGATACCATCAGATGATAATAATCGACATAATCGAGCAATACCTTCTGGAGATTTTAAACCATTCGCCTCAGGTAGATAACTAGTACTGGTTGCTTCAGTTAATTCACTAGTTGATATACCTTTATTATACGTTTCGGATAATGTTTTTGCTGAAGTTCTTCGTGAATCCATTTCTTCAGCTAATCGACCTACTATTTCATCTAAATACAAACGTCCTAGTATACGACCAACATTATCCAATTGACCAGGTTTAAAAGCAACTTCACCAGAGATTATTGCCTGTTCTACTTCACCAAGAACACGATGTAATGTATATAATCTAACTTGCCAGTAGGTATATCCACCTCGATTAAGTTGTTGAGTAACTACTTCAAATAATTTATCTAATCCTTTACCAGGACCAAGTAGACGAGCTATTCGTGATAATGATTTAGATGCTTCATTGCGTACTTCAAAATTGATATCACGTGATGGTCGTAAAATATCTACAACACGAAGTATTAAATGAGGTAAACGTGATTCAAGATAACCATCTGGTAAACGTCGAAGTAACATAACTAGTGAGATGACTAAAGATATTTTAAGCGGTTGACTAGTAGTAGTTGACTGATTATCATTTGAGGTTCCAGTGTTATCTTTTGTTTTAATCGGTTTCACAATGAATGGCTCCAGACGCTTAACTACACTAAGCATATAGTTAAGGATATTTAAATTTTCCGGTGATATTTTTCGTGTTAAAATTTTAGACGCAGGGATATTATGTACAAGATTAGAATTGTTAACGTCTTCTTCTTCTTTTATTTGTTCATCAGTAGACTTGGAAAACACTTCCCAATTAGGCGGTTGAAAGGCATCAATTAGATTAACAATAATCTGTGATACTAAATTAGTATTTATACATGAATTCAATCGACTAATTACAGATTCTAATAGAATTCTATACGATTTCCAATGAAGATGTTTAGCTAATGCACCAATAGCATCTAAACAGTATTCATATAATTTTTTATGCTTATCTAATTTATGAGAATTACTAGTTTCTGAATAACAATTCAATTCAGGTTCTAAATAAAACCATAAAATTGGCAGAAATAATTCTCGTAAATCTTTTTGTTTAATTGGACAATTTTTTGATTGTTGATTTAAACTATGAAGATGATTAGTTAATTGTTGACGAGATATTATTGTTATAGGATTATGTAAAAATAATCCAAGACGACGAATAGCACAACATTGACGTGATAAACTATTACTTTGTAGATTAGTATAAAAATCATTATTTGATGAATGATTATCTATTAATAAGCTAATGATGAAAAGTGACTACGTGATTTATGAATATGTATAATAGTATTAAGAAGACGTAGTAAATGTAAACGTTTATAACTTAGATATATAGATGAATCACGTAAACAGATGACTAAATTGTGCCATATACATTTAATAATCAATTCTTGATAATAAATATCAGTTTCATTTAATTGTTGATAAATTAATCGTTTTTCAATAGATTCAATAACATTTATTATATAATTAAGTGATATATCTCGTAATTGTAAATCTTCATGACATATTGTATAGATAGCACAATTTAAACCAGCTATATGTAATATTAATGTCTGTTCAGGTGGATGAATCAACTTAAATAATAAGCATAAATCAATGAGTAAATTGAAACCTGTAACTCGTTTATTCACATCTGGTTGTTCAATATAATTTTCATCCCATGAATTAAGCTAAAATAAGATATAATATAAGAAATCAGATAAAACTATAAGTGAAAAATTTATTTAATATAAAGCGCACAGTGATACAGTAATTATTTAATTAATTAATATGGCACTGGAGGCAGTCAGAAATCAACTAGATACTGACTCACAACTTACTCAAAGAACCAAGGCATCGGTTGGTGAAATCATGTTAGGAGTGCAGTTATGCTTAACCTCGACAGTCTTCAAGTTTCAGGGAAAGATTTATAGACAAACAGAAGGAGTAGCAATGGGATCACCAATATCCCCTATAGTAGCAGATATATTTATGGATAGTTGGGAAGATATGGCTTTACGAACATATAATCCGACACCTAAGATATGGTGGCGATATGTAGATGACACATTTACAGTGTTGAAATCGGAACATATCGACAGTTTCTTGACACACATAAACTCAGTAGTTAACGCAATCCAATTCACTACGAAGTAGAAAATGAACAAGGAGAATTACCTATGTTGGATTGCAGAATAAAACGAAGGATAGATGGTGGTTTAGATACTACCGTCTACAGAAAACCAACACATTCTAACAGATATCTAGACTTCAAGTCATCTCATCCAGTGTCAGTTAAAGCGGGTTTAGTCAAATGTCTAAATAACAGAGCTGAGAAACTCACTAGTCATTGTAAGGACTTAAATAAGGAATTGAAACACATAAAAGAAGCGTTAATAATAATAATTATCCCCATCATTTTATTAAGAAATTCACACGGACACATAAGAAGCAAAATAATAACACTAATACAAATACAAATAATAGTGACAACATAAGTAGAAAGGAAATCAACACCTCTATTGTGATACCATACAAGGAAGGAACATCAGAAACCATACGTAGGATTCTCAACAAGGTTGGAATTAGGGTGGCATTTAAACCAACAAACTCACTTAGAGGTAAGCTTTGTCGGCTAAAAGATCCGATAGAACCAATTAAGCAAAATAATATAATCTACCAAATTCCATGTAATGACTGTGAAGTCAAATACATAGGTCAAACTAGCCGGTCGGGGTCAGTTAGATTAACAGAACATAGGAATTTAGCTAAACATAGAACGGCAGACCCCAATAAGATCAATAACCTAGAAAAACACTCAGCCATTGCATTACATTCATTAACACACAACCACACAATAGGATGGGACAAAACCACTGTACTTAAGTCTAATATAGCTAGGTGGAGAGAGAGATTAATTACTGAATCTTTGTTCATCGAATCCACACCCAACACATGTAATAGGAATGACGCAACACCTATACCAGAGATATGGAAAACTTTACTACCAATCAAAAAACAAAAAAACAAAGAGAGATCAGGTGACAGGACTATAAAATCAGATGTCGAAAGAAGTGTGATTACATTGATATGATTATGAGCAATAATTTATGCTCGAAACGTAATCAATTAAATAATACTGTATCACTGTGCGCTTTATATCAAATAAACAGATAAAACTATACTCAATTAATTCATTGACAATGATCTTGATGAAAATAATAGTTTAATAATTTACTAAGAGTCTATAATAAGTCAGACAACTAGTTTATAACCTTCTTACATACCTCAAACTAAACAATCATTGAACATTGAGGTAGACAGTGGCTTGGAATATGAAGAACACGTTTATACCAATTCAGTTAATCATAATTCACAATCTAATCGATTGACTCACCTATTTTGACTAGTATCCTTTTTTCTTTGACTTCAATATTACTCACATACGAAGACACTTATATAATCAAAACCTTGCTACCTCTTCAGCTTCACTCTCTGTGGAATAAGGTACATCGGCTGTAGCCAGAGAATGCTTTCTACACATCTTCAGTCTCTGTTACTCTGTTACACGTTACATTCTACAACATTGAATTCATTCCCATTAATCAACAAACATACACAATGACACAAAAAAAATTACTTATCAAATTCACTCATACCTTACATGTTTTCAACTCCTTAAAACACCACAGGTTTTAGCTATTAATCAACTAAAACTACATCCATCTGTACAAAAGAGGTATGTACAGTCACTCAGTGTTTTTTACTATGTTCATAACATTTTCCCACCCCCATTAGTTTCCTCTCACCCCCCCTCCCTTTGTTCATTTAATCTTTATATCCTTCCTTTATCATTATTATTGTTATTACAATCGCCTTGACTTTGATTAGTTTCCCATGTTATTTCGCTAAATTGTCTTCTGAGAAAACATTGATTCCATCTTGACTAACTGGTTTAGTCCTATTACATAATGTTGAATCGATTTATCACTTTCACCCTGTCTGAGCTATACACCTTCCATGAACAACTCCGTTTATTACGTAACTTTTTGAAAAAAAAGAGATACTATGAAATAGTAGAACCCAAGGAACATCTGCTTGAGGTTGGTTACACACGATCTCATGGCAATTTTGAGAACTTAGTTTTTCCTTTAGAATCCGACTAAGAAACCCTGTTGCAGGTATAGGCATGCCGCGACCGATCTTTTGTAACCACTCTTTCAGGATTAGCGTGGCACTGCTGATCATCCGAGGGAAACACTTTACTGCTGTCATATCCTATCAAGCTATTAGTAGTATGACTTCGCCCTCAGACCCTCATCATAGCGCAGCAACCATTATCATGGGATGGTCGGACATAGAGGGAATAAGCGTTTTAATCACGGTAGCTTCGTTGGCTCATCGTAATATACAAGCCGGACCACCATGTTAAGGTGGCAGCTAACGGTCAGGGATTTTATATCTCTGCCCAGTACGATTAACTGCATACAGTTATGTATTGATAGTGCACCTAAAATTTAAACAAAGACATAATGACAATTCACTTGGTTGTGGCTAGCAGAAGAATCCAGGACGCCTACTTCTTCCTACTTGGGGCTCGTCAGCTGGATTTACGTGCCTCCGAGTATGTGACGTTGTCCCCACTGGGACTCGAACCTCGCACGCATCGCTTCAAAAGCATTGCTCACTGAAGCAAGATAGCCATCTATTGTACAACGGGTAATTCTCCATCATTATACTGGATCGAATTGTTCTACTTCTATTGGCATATAGGTTCCTATACAGTCGCCTTGATATTACCCGAATACTTATTATGATAATTTACATGGTTGTGCTCAGCAGAAGAATCTGGGATGAACATTTCATCCTTTGCGCAGTACATATCTAAGCCATCTGGATCTACAAAGGTTCACAAGGTTATCAGTTGGCTTGCCTATCTTATCTAGAATACTTCCTCTGACCACAACAATGACTGTTCACATCATGATTTCATTAAACGCCAGCAAAAACATCTGTGATAAGAACTCTCTAATAGCTTACTACAAGATGACTTTATCCTTTCAAAAATGTATTAGATATAATCACAAAAGAAAGCGGATGGTATATAGAAGATTTAAACAAAAGAAATAGTATACCTTCACTCAACAAAAACACATACAAACATAAACACAACTAACTCACCATTATTAAAATATTTTCAGTTAAATTGACAATTGCATCATTTGCATGATTATGACTGGATAAATACATTGTGAAATATCTTAAACTATCCACTGTTAATTCATTTTGTCCAGTTGTTGAATTACTCTGAGTCAACGATTTGAGTGTATCAAACAGATTTAAAGGGAAGTTAGGCAGTCGAGATAAAGATATACTGACAACTCGACAGAGGAGACTACGTGCAACCCGTGATTTAGAGCAAACAAATAAATTAAGTACTTTCCTGTAAGTAAGGAAATATTTATAAGACAATAGACAAATAGATGAAACATTTTATCGATATATATAAAAGTATATTATCAGTAGTTATAGGAACAGGAAAACACACTAGATAGTGGTTATCAATGGAATTTAACGCACCCACTTTTGTCCTACTTATAGTACACAACAAGTAGATTTTATTTTACTTAACATAACAGCTGATCTTCCCATAGAGACTTGAAACTCGAAGTCTTTCATTCAAAACACCAGAGTGTTATCTAATAGACTATTCTCAATGGTAGTAATAAATAGCTGTTTATTGAATACATGCTAATTAATTCTGCGGGTTTATGAGGATTTAGAAATTATCTCAACTTGGTATCCAGCATTGACTGACATCAGCTGGAGGAATATTGGAAACCTCAGAGTACTGGACAGTCGTTTCGTCCCAGTATGCGACTCCTCAGGGGTGCGCACCCATGACCCTTAGGTCCTGTGGCTAGCACGTTACCACTGAGCTACTGGGTCAGAATCCAGCGGTCAATATTTTCAACTTCTGTCAGTTCACGAACTAGAGCTACTGGCATCCAATGTCATTGTTGAGTATTTGTCCTCACAGCTACCAGGTTTTCCCCACTGGTCACAAATTCTCACTGAAACTTCAGGAATCACCTCTCGAAGCTAGTCACTAATGAGTGCTAGGTTAATTCAATCTCAAGCTTTATGGAGATTTATTAATTGATTTTAGGTAGGAATTCATCATGGACTGAACCAATTGGAGAAACGTTAGAAACCTGAGAGTACTAGATGGCTGTTTCGTCCTAGTAAGGGACTCTTCAGCAGCTGTCTAGTACTTCTAGGTTTTCAATGTTGACTGACGAGACTGAATTCATGGAAGTTTATTGACATTCATATTGACAATTATACTAACTAAATAACGAATTGATGAACCATTTCACAACAAAAACTTACTTTAAATATTCACTAACATTACTGATAATAGGTATCAGATGAAGAATTGATTGAATAAGTTCAGCTTCAACTGCTTCACCTGTAGCCAATTGAAGATCATATCGTGCAGCTGATTCATCTGAGTTAACAAGAGCACGACGTTTAAATACTGTTGATCGTGTTGAATTAGTTGTTGTATGCAAATAACGTATAGCAGATCGTGATAATAATTGTAGTAATGCATGAAGAAGTTGTTCACCTTCTGTTGAACTAAGACAATTTATATAATCTTCACATTCATCTATAACTACACATTCATGAGGTAATTGAGCTAAGTAACCAACCAATCGAAATTCACGTTGTAATCTTAATCCAGACTGTGGTTGTTTACCAAGATTTGCAAAAATGTTGCTTTCACTTGACATAATTCTTGTAGACGTTTATGCAGATAACTGACAACTTTTGAATGAAAAGGGAACAACAATCTCCGACCTTTACTACAGACATCTACACCAGAAAAAGAAAGAAAGTAGTGTGTTTAATTGTGGTAATCACGATAATAATGGCAATCAAACCTACGACTTAAGAAAATAATATTATTGTAGTTGTACACAATTGTTGGAATAAAACCGCCGTTTGTTGATTCTACTTGGATAGTTATTCATTGACAACTATATATCGTTTTCTCATTTCAGTCAGAGACTAATGTTCCAGACCATTGAAGTTTTTAAAAGCGGCTGACTGATACAATCAAAGCAGAGCCATACACACACACACAGGTGCATCCCACTTAAGTTATCACACTAAACATTAGAAGATGCCATTGTGACAAATTTTCAGCCAAATCACCTGAACTCCCCAACCATTGATTTCTTTCGTCTCATGGACACCCCTGCCTCAAGTCAACAGCCAGGGACTTCATGGAATGACTTAACATCTTAGTCTGGTTGCCAAACAGCCCTCTTCCAACCTAGACTAACTCCCCCTAGCATATCACTTCGAGGTAGGCAGTGGTTCAGCATCCACAGTACATGTCCAAGCCACCTCAGTCGACTAATATTCACAACCTTGTCAATTGACTTGCTCTGTCTTGTCTAGTACATTTCGCTTGATTTCAACATTGAGCACTCACTGAGTTGAACCAGCGATATTCAATACATTTAATTTATCTACTTTCTATACGTATGTATAGTTGTGAAAATCTATATTGCATTTAGTAAGTCTTTAAAGTAAAACACACATTTTTCAAGTTTTCTCTCAACCACTTTAAAACTACATGCATCCTATCAATATCTTCATAGAGATCCTTTTCTCTCTCTCTCTCAAAACAGGAAGTCAACCTGCAAAGGGATACAGTTACAATGACTTAAAGAATATGAATCGGTAAATTGGAGTACTTGTACATTCTTGACACATCGTATTCATCGAGAAACTGAGGATTACTAATCAAATACTGACATTATGACAGACAAGCTTGAATGACAAGATTGGGGTCAAACGTATGAAGCAAAGTACACTCAACTATCTCGTGTACATCCGTACAGTTATTGATACTACCTGGATGCCTAAACTTCGGTAGGTGGGGCAGGACTCGAACTTGTAACCTACTGGTCAACAGTCATCTTCCAAAACCAGAACCCTAACTCCATAGATGATTCAGATTGGCACAAATATACCAACAATAACCATTGGACTACGTTTCACGTAACAAGGTTGGAAGGGTTAAATCATGTGACCCATCGCGTAGATGGATTGAGCCTGCAGGATGTGTTAAGTACGTTCCAGAATAATCCGTTGAAAGGTTAAAAGTGAATCAGCAGAATCATGTGCGTTTCAGACAATTACTACTAGGCAAAGTTATAATAGTAATCTGTACTCAATGATGAAGTGTGTCTACTCAAAGGTATAATCAGATTCCTCTGCCTGATCTCACGTCGTGAAAGGTAAACTAATTTCTACTATGGTTAATTCAAACTCTACGATATTAACCGGACATTACATGTGTTAAGTCAAAGAAAGCAAACACAAGACGTAACACCAGAATATATCATATTGAAGAAAGCCAGTTACACAGTAACTAACAATAGCTACTGTCAGAAAAATACAAGATAATAATGTGATATCATAGTGTGAAATGCTGCTACTACTACTAGGCATACTATGATAAAAACGTTTTCGTGACAGATATGGCCCTTAAACATTCTAAGAAATAACAAGCAATACGATCTATACTATACTCATCATCAGAGACATTGAAATCCTAGTGACAAGCAGGTATATCCAGCCGACGAGTCTCAAACAGGATGAAATGCTAATCAAGCTGAATTCCACTCTTAACCACTATCCATCGTCCCTACCAATCTGAAAGTACAGATAAAATTGATGGATGATGTCCCTAGTGGAACATAGGGCTTCAATATCACGCCTCCATTCCACTCTCTTCTCTTCAGTCTTCTCTTTTAACCTCGCTCCACCACTGTCCAGAAGCTTTCATTTCTTCCTCACACCATCTCACCCTCAGACGCCCAACTCGTCTTTTTCCATTTGGGTTCCACTCGAGGGCTTGGCCTGGCACGTGATGTCAGCGAATGGTCTCCTCAGTGTATGTCCAGTCTAATCCATCTCCACTTTTTCTTCTGCATATTTGTTGGTTTGTTCGTTGCCAGAGTGAATTCACTGTTGCTCATTCTTCCTAGCCATCTGATATTCAATATGGAGTGAGCGTAGGTGGCAGCGGTCCATGTATGTGCATAGCTTGTTGGAAATGCTTTCCAAGACGCGCCAACTCTTTCAACCATCACATAGAAGCGCTAACTTGACTGGCATTAATGTTGAAAATCCGGATCTTCTTCACGCTTTATGCTGAGTCCAGTGCAGTAGATCACTACACTGTTTATTTCAGATCAATGCAGGAAGGCCTGTCTTGCTATCCTTCCTAAACTGCTTTTGACGTCCTCATCTGTGTTGCCTGGATCCATACAGGAGCCCGAAACCCAAAAGAAAAGAGTCAATTAGATCCAATCGACGACAAAAAATCATTGTATGGAACAGAGTTGGTATAGTTAATTGAAATACCTGCAAAGAAATATACTCTCCACTTCACTAAGTGTACACATATCATCATCGAAATTAACATAGGACCAGGCATTACTGAGTATTTCATATCAGCACATCAAGTAACAAGGCAATAAAGTGGAAGTTGAAGAAGGAAAAAAAAATTGATTAAAAGCAGCAGAAAGAAGTAAAACGAAGGAAGAAAGAGTGTGAAAATGATAAGATTTAGTGTAGCGGTTAACATGAGGATAATATATGTATACATCTGCACCACCATATCACATAAAGTCTATAACCAATGGTTTGTCTTATCTTACGGGCCCTAAACAGCTAGTCTGCATCGCCATATATGGCTTAAACCAACAGTCAAGGACTTTCTGAAGTAATGCCAGAACCTGCTTCGACTAACATTTTCGCGACAAGGCAGACGGTGGCTAGGCATATGTAACACATGTCCAAGCCATCTCAGTCAATGAAGGTTCAAGTGTATGCATGAATGGGAGATATTCAAGGCATTACAAAAACATTAGTATAAAAAGACAGAAAACACAGTTCTTCTTCCGTTAACACCATGCTTTTCAATATTAAAAATAAATAAATAACCTATTTACTAGAGACAGAGAGAAAAATAAACTCACCAGGCAAGAAGACAAGATTATGTATAATTTCAACTAATTTTTCAATAACATTATTATTCAATTTTCTAGTACCACAGTAATGATTATTTAACAAGATGAGAAATGTTTGTACCAACGGTTTTTCAAAGAATTCATCAACAAGATAACTTGATGAAGATGACCATAAACTTCCTAATTGGATTAATAAATGATTAATTGATAAACATGAAGTTGTCAAGATATCATTTAAAACAAATGGATTACAGCAAACTTGTTTAACACAAGTTGAACGTTTAAGTATATCATTATCACTATGATTATTGTTCCAAAATTCAATTTCACATAACCATTTTGATGAAAATAAGTGAATTATTAGACTGTTACCAGCACAACGGACTGCTTTCATTTGTGATGGTAAAGGTAGTCGATTATTAGTATTATTTGACTCAGATTTAATCCTTTTCACTTCATACACCATAGTCAATAGACATAAACTTAAACGAAGTAGAATATCAGCACGTTGAATATTGTGAAGATTTTGACTAACAGAATTACTACTATGAACATTATTCAGTTGAATTATATTGTCAGTATCAATGGATACAGTTTCATTGTCGGTTAGATTGACAATATTCAATCGATGTCCCATATACATTAAGGCTTGATTGATAATTTTTGATAACCTATTGGAGTTGTATGCAAAAAAAAATGTAGAAGGCGAGAAAATAATGTTAATGATTAAAATAGACAGTATAATAGAAGTAGGTGAAGTTAGCTAACTGCTAGATAACAATAGTTTTGTACACATAGTTAACATATTCACTCGAAATCAAAAACTATTCAGCAACCTTATTGTTGTGACCGAGTGATGAGTATAATGACTACTGAGACTCAATAGACACCTTAACCGAATACCTTTACGACTAACCTCCCTTAGTACCTTCTGCATCACTAAGACGCGGAGAAATCAGAAGACAAAGATGACCTGTGACTGCAAGAACAGCGACAACTTTTATCAGGCAAATACATAGTATATATGTATTTACAAAACTCTCAGAAAGTGAAGCCATAAATGAACCAATCCGATTTCTTGTATGAGGTCGAACTTCTCTCTCAGGTTCTCAGGTCAGAGCATGCATAACTCACGACCTGAACATGATCTGATCATGACTTGAAAACAACTCCCTATTGGCTGCCTTTCGTCGCTACGTAACACTTACAGGCAATTAATTTGAAATCAGTGAGATCTACTGCACTCAGTAAAAAGTACAAAATTCGGGTTCTCAACACAAATGCAAGTCAAGCCAGTGCTTCTATGTGATGGTTCAGAAAGAAGAAAGTGGAGATGGATTAGACTGGACATACACTGAAAAGACTATTCGGGGACATCATGTGCCAGGCCAGGCCCTCGAGTGGAACCCAAATGGAAAAAGACGAGTTGGGCGTCTGAAGGTGAGATGGTGTGAGGAAGAAATGAAAGCTTCTGGACAGTGGTGGAGCGAGGTTAAAAGAGAAGACTGAAGAGAAGAGAGTGGAATGGAGGCGTGATATTGAAGCCCTATGTTCCACTAAGAACTCAAAAGAGAAATAAATAAAATAACCGTAAGCAAAGAACCACACATATTGTGTGTGAGGAGTAATGATACTACCTATTTGGCTGTCTAAACCTCAATGGATGGAGAAGCGTTCGAAATCTGCGAATCAATGGTGGAAAATCAACTCATTAAACTAATGAACCATATCTCTACTCTATATTCACTGACACCTAATATACCGATGTTGATTAGATCGCATCGTTGTAAAGAACAAAATGACGCTGCGAACCTGTTAGTATATTTATTTACTATTCTCATGACTGAGGTGAAAATCAACTCAGTTAAATATTCTAGTTTGACGTCCTTCAAGACTGAATACAAGACATCTTGTTGATAGGGTTAACAGTTAGGCTTTATATCGGTTTGCCCTGAACATTTTACAGAAGTATCCATAATGCAAACTAAACTGGGTGTGCACTGCTGAGGAGTTCCATACTAGGACAAAAAAGCTGTCCAGTGCTCCCAGATTTTCAGTGGTTGCCCAACTGGTATCAGTCTATGATGAATATTACTTCTAAATTAAAAAAATCCCCATTCATCGCAAAAATACATTACTGTATAGTGCTCATTAGTGACTTGCTTCCAGATGGATATCACGAAGCTCTAATGAGAAGCCATGACCTGTGGCGTCAACAAGTCGGAAGTGAAGTGGATGCTAACTGAAGACCTTGGGTGACAGTCGCGCTATGTTGTGAATTGACAGAAGTTGGAAATCGTTAACCACTGGAAACCAAACCAGTGGTTGAATGGCCAATGAGTTCGCCGTGAAGGTCCTGAGTTCCACCCCTAGCTAGGTCGTGGGTGCGTACTGCTAGGAAGTCGCATACTAGGACGAGACAGCTGTCCAGTGCTCCCAGATTTCCAATGGTTCCCCAACTCATCACAGTCCATGATGAATACCACTTCTAAACTGAAAGAATTATCTCAACAACACAAACGACTCAAGCAATCGAATTGTTTTCATGAAACGAATATCTAATGAATAAACCTATATCAAATTCGATTAAAATAATAGGATATCAATGAATTCAACTCATCAATTGTAATAGAAAATACATAAAAGTGTAGTATAAATATAAGTTAGTTAACAAATTAGTTATCGAGAGCTAACAGAAGTTGGAAACATGGAGCATTGGATTCTGACCCAGTGGCTCAATGGTAACGCACTGGCCGCGGAACCTGAAGGTCGCGGGTTAGATCAATGGTGGGGTCGTGGGTGCGCACTGCTGAGGAGTCCTATACTAGGACGAAACAGCTGTCCAGTGCTCCTAGATTTCCTTTGTTCCTCCAACCGATGTCAGTCTACGATGAATAACAACTTGAAATTAGCTTACGCATGTAAACGAGGCCAAGATAATGAATCTTTTCCATAGATAGTATTTTCAACACGTTGACGAATACACTGAATTGATTCATTCAACTTATTGTCAGTAAAATTGATTGTAGACATTGCCTCTGATTCTTTGATTAATGGATCCAACAGGAAGCTTAAGAATAAATTTAATTCAGAGTCTGTGCATAAAGCAAGATTAGTGAATATAGCTGAGGCGAATTGACCTTTTGACAATTGTAAACGACCATATAATATACTAAAATAGGAAGAAAAAAAGTAAATAATGATATGGTAAAGTTGAAACTCAGATGACCAGAAAGAATAAGCAACAAGGAACTCTGGCTGGTTGGCAACGAACCAACAAAGCAAGAACCTATCACTCAACAAATATACAGAAGGAAGTAGAGATGAATTGGGCATACACTGGGAAGACCATTCAGGAAAATCACATGCCAGGCCAGGTCCTCTAGTGGAACCCAGATGGGAAACGACGAGTTGAGAATCCGTGGCAAGAGTGACAAGGAGGAAATCATGTGCGGAAGAAATGAGAGCTTGTGGACTGTCGTGCAGCCGGGTTCAAAAGTTTGCAGAGAAAAGACTGGAATGGAGGCGTGCTATTTAAGCCCTATGTTTTACTAGGAACCGAAGGGACAAATAATAATCTGATAATAATAATAGAAGTTGATTTTTACTTGAAATTCACTGATTGGTCAATGTACTAGACTATAAAACTGAAAAATCCACTGCCTAATTGCCCCCCTAACCATAGAAGATAACATAGGGATCGAACTTAAACCTTGTTTCTTACATCTCAGAGTATTATTTATCAAATCAATGAGATGATTTTACCAATGGATTGAGGTAACCAATTAGGGCATAGGAAAATGTTTTTATAAATGATAATAAACTATGAAAGATGATGCAGTATTGATTTTGTAAACAAGCATCTGTATACAGGTAGTTAAGTGTTTAAGAGAAAAAAGCTTGTAGAAAAACCAACATATGAATCTTTAAGAAACACTATGTGAATAAGTTGATTTGTCAACAAACAAAAACACGAATTACGCCATTGATTGGATTGAGTCGATCGACATATGGGTTCCTACACGGATGCCGTGATATCGTCTGTGTTTGAATTATGTACTATTGATGGAGAGTATCTAGCAGTAGAATACACGATGCATGATTCACCCTATTCTAGACTCGTCAAACAGATGCGTCCGCCTCTCAATGAGTAACATTGCCCCCAATTAGAACTCAAATCTAGGACCGATTTTTTCAAACGTCAGAGCATTATCTACAAGGTCACTGAGTCGCAATACCCATTCAATAAGCATAGTTTTGATTGTACTGCTTGTAATTTCCCGTCATCATAACATAAAATAATATACTCGTTGCACAAGGAGCGCCCATCATGACTATGGCGTTTGAAGCGATCAGTCCTCAGTTTCGGTGGGGGACAACATCATTCACTGGGAGGTAGGTATATTCAGAAGGAAAGGTGCTTCAGGCTGGATTCCATTGTTAGCAATTATCCATTATTACTACCAATGGAATTTTTTCTATCAACACTTGAGTTAGTTACCCACATAAAATCCAATCCAAATACCGTGAGATTTCAGATATCGCAAGTCTTCAGAAGTCAGGTATAGCTAAACACCTAGTGTTGCATAGTCTCCTCCTTCTTTGTACAAAAGGCAATAAAGTACAACTGCTTGTAATGTAATTATGTATAAAATGCAGCTACAAAAGATGGAAAAACTCTAGACTGTATCGTCTCTTTGTTAGTAAGCGCTGGTTCAATTTTGGGAATTATAGATTTTGTATATGTCAGGTGAATCCCCGCTTCCACTGTATGCGGGTCTCTTCTCATCAGTATTTCTTTTTTTAATACACTTTGGTTTAATTGTTTCAACTGTTTTTATTACTGAAGGATCCAACGAGTCAACCGTGTCAGTAAAATGTATAACGACAATTAGTGTTATTCAGCTGAAATACTCAACGTCACCATTGCCATTTAACTTCATCATAGACATTCATCTGACGTCACACGAACTGATCTATTCCCCAAAGGTTGACTTGGCGGTATGTCGACGATATTTTCCTGCTACCTGTAGACGCTGACAACATGCAGAGCTTTCTGAACACCTTAGGCAGAATTTTGAGTATGTTTAGCCTGTAAATCACACTTACCAAGTGTAAGATGATGCTCTCGAACTGGTCTGCTGCATGTGCTCAAGCTTTACTGCTAGGGAGTGAAGTAGTGGAATGTGTTGACCACTTCACTTACTTGGCGGACTGCATCAGCTCGAACAAGGAGGCTGCTGAAGAAATGTCCACTTCGATATACACAGCTATTTTGTCATTTGGGTTACACCTGTGGCTCTGGTGAAATATTCGACCATCTATCAAAGGATTAGTATACTGCTCCGCAGTTCATTCTGTTCCGTTGGAAGAAGAGGAGATGAAGCGGTTATGGGGTTTTGATCACGCAAAGCTTCGTAGTATTGCTTATGTTTGGTGGAATCAGTGTGTGAGTCATGCTGAGGTTAGGCGAAACGTACTGAGGTAAGAAAACCAAGTCGATAGACGAAGTTGTGACTAAGATGGCTTAGACATGTACTGCAAATGCCGAGTCACCGCCTACAATGAATTGCCATGCTAGTGGAAGCTGAATCAGGTTGGAAGAGAGTTCAACGTGACCGGACCAAGACGTGGCACAAGTCGATGAAGTCACTGACTAGTGGTCTGAGCCTACATGAAGAATCATTAGAAAACTTGATATGTTGAATAAACTTTCGGTTATTTCGACTAAACAATATACAAGTTTGAAACTCAGTCACGAATTGCAGTATTGACCAGGGTCTGTGGATTTGTTGTCGGGTCTGCCCCATCTACCTCAGAATTCCATGATCTACTAACAGCCTGAAGTCTTTCCTCGTTCTTCGCTACAGCTAGGATTTTGATGTACTTATGTAATGAACCGCGTATATGGCTGGAAGATTCCGCTTTGACAACAATTTTTCCCATCAGTTCTGACATCGCAGGTTGATGATTGAAGGTGAGGTGAAAATTTGGACCGCAGCTGGATTCGAACCATCGACCACCTTCACTCACCACCCAGTATAAATACTAGTCTGTCAAACTACGGCTATCTCAGACAGTCAAATGATAATCGCAGGAAGTGATAATAGTAGGATATAAGCAGTAAAACCAGTATCATTATTGTACATTTTCACTGGTATTAGCCTCTTTGATTATCTGGTAGGTTGTGGAATACTGAGTTTGAAAAGGCTGAAGCAGGGGAAATGACTCCTGCCAGCAGCATCTGACGCGATATAGGTCAACGGAGTGTAGTACGTTCGAGAAAGCGCCTTTGAAGATCTGAAAACAAATTTTTTTCACGTTCATCATACGCTTGGAACTAATCGGAGTTCTAGAGTAAACATCAGATCCAGGAGAAGAATGATGTGAAGGTTTAGGATCAACAGGAGATCTTCGCCTTTCCATTATCGGTGATTATTTGAGCCAGTGATCTGGTATCTGTGATGTGAGATGTTTTTTATCGACTCGCTGCTGATTAGTGGTAACTGGTTGTGCATCTCTTTCATGTGGTTTTGATTTGCTGTAGTTTTCGCAAGGATGAGATCTTACGCAGTGACTGGCCTTTGAGAAAACTGGATTAGTCTCTCTTTTGCCTAGAACATCCACGCTAGACTTTTTTAGCGCTCCAATTTATTGGCATATGAGGATGATAAAAACAGAGCTGGCTCCACATTATCTCCCACTTCCATCATCGGATCAATCACACATTTTCGCTGGAAAACAATTTCATTATTGATGTATCCAAAAGTAGGATACATCTTTGTGATATATCCGATAAGTCATCGCTATAATGCAAGATGATCATAGTGTATAAATTGCAGATGAATGAAATCTAAAAGATTATACAAAAGAAGCTGAAAACACAAAAAATACACAACAACAGTAATAATAAGTACCGCAATAAAACTCCGCTAATCTGTTCACGATGTTCCGATGAGAATAACGATGTATCCAATCGAAAAGTTCGAACTGTATCACGAAACGTCTGAAGGTCAATAATCTGTTCAATCTGTTCTCTAGAAAAGAGAAATACAATAAACAGTTAAAAGTAACTTTGAAAAAAAAACAGTTGAATAGTTGAATAATAATAAGAAAAAAGGCAGTAAAATAACTTTGACTTATTGTTACTTGTAATTTCCCATTGTTAGGTATGCCTATATCTTCCATACTTACAGTTTGCATAGATTTATTTCACGCTCTTTTCTCGCGCATGGGTGATATTTCGCTTTGAATAACTTTTGCTTCTTTAAATGTACTAATCATTTTTTCACGTTCAAGATTGACGGGACTTCAAGTCAACGTAGAGAAGACAGAGGTGATGATGATACACAAACACCACCACCACCACCAACTACAACAACAAGCTCCAATCACCTTCAACAGGAGAAACTTAAAGAAAGTAATCTTTTTCACCTATCTAGGCAGCACCGTTTCAACTACAAGTGGCGGCACTGACGAGGACTTAAAATCCAGCCAGCATCGGAAACACAGCAAGACAGGCCTTCCTTCATTAACCTGAAACCAGTGTCGAGATCTTCCACACTCACTATAAAGCGTGAACAACATCCGGATTTTCAACACAATTCAGTCAAGTCAGTGATTCTAAATGGTTCAGAGACTTGGCGCGTTACGAGAAGTATTTCCGATAAACTACAGATATACATCAACAACTGCTCCCTACTCTGGCTCCTTACTGAAGCTCAGATCAGATGGCCAGAATAATAAGAATAAGCAACAAGGAACTCTGGCTGGCTGGCGACGAACCAACAAAGCAAGAACCTATCACTCAAGAAATATGCAGAAGTTAGTGGAAGTGGAGATGGATTGGGCATGCACTGAGAAGGCCGACTGGGGACATCACGCACCAGGCCAGGCCCTCGAGTGGAACCCAAATAGGAAGCGACGAGTTGGGCGTCCGAGGTGAGGGTGACGTGGAGGAGATGGTGTGAGGAAGAAATGAGAGCTTCCGAGCAGTAGTGGAGTCAGGTTCAAAAAGAGTGTAATGGAGACGTGCTACTGAAGACCTGTGTTCCACTAGGAACCCAAGGGACAAACAATAATAAGGTCACTGTCAACTCTATAAATAGGATCTGTTTCCAGTCTGAAATACTATTATTATTATTCCCTTGGGTTCCTAGTGGAGCATAGGGCTTCAGTACTACGCTTCTATCGCACTCTGTTCTCTGTAGTCTTTTGGACCTGACACCACGACTGCCCACAAGCTTTCCAGAAATACTCTTAACTCATTTTCTTCCCAGTTTTTTCGATTTCTTTCATGCAAATCAATTGAGGTTGAATCGTTTCAACCATCGACTATCAATCATTAAGTATTTTCATTCGTTCTCACAACTTTGCATTACAATAACAATATACAATGAGAGTGTATGTCTCAGACAGAGATAATACAGTCAATCAACATTTTAATATAGATTCAGGTTGATGATATGCTTTGATATGATGTTGAATTGATTAACTTTGATAGGATTGAAATAAATAACTGAATTATAATTGATCTTGAATTTTTAGCTTTCAGACTACTATGTGGAAATTCCCGCCCAGCCCCCCCCCGATCTTGAGGACATTCAACTCAACAAGAAATATCTACAGTACTGAAGAATACAAAGTATTGGTACACGAAGTATATCTTAATCCAGTGAGTAGTCAACAGACATCATATGATTACCAGTAGTTTCAGACAATCCTTAACGAACACCATCAGTAAACGTATGTCATTGTCATTGATTGGATCGGCTAGTATTGGCATATGAGCTTGTGTGTAAATGCCAGGGGTAGAACGAAGCACATATCCTCAACTCCACTGTTAGTTACAACAACAAACATTAGACAGATAATAGTTTTGACCATCATGACGAAGTTCATATAGATTCTTTCTATGTGTGACCTTACTAATACATCTCCTTTTCTAATCATACAGTAAAACATTAGGTAAAGAAGAAAACTTACTGATAGTTATTAATAGATGGTTGTTTATAGGCAAGAATGCATTTGAAAGCTGCTTTCTGGATTGTCGGTTGTTTAAATTTCAGTAACTGGTAGAGAAGGAAAAACCATAGGTTAAAAAGGTTAGTCAGTTACTACGATGGATAGAATAAAGTTAACTAGAATAAAAACGGAGATCCTAAATCTCGGATAATGATTGAATTCCAATCAAGTCATGTATTGATTAGTCATCGGAGTGCAACCGATTTCATGTTGTCTAGTCCTGAGTGCAGACCGAATTCTATAGATCATATTGCAATGTGGTAACCAAGCCAAGAAGCTCAGCATCGCGGTGCACATTAGTAGATGTTAGTTGGTTGGAGGCAATCGGCAGGAAGCCCTGGACTCTCGTGACCAATCCACATATGTATGCCAGTCCTACAGGAGGTCAGTCGCTGTCCGAATAGCTCAGTGGTAAAGTCGCTGACTGCTAACAGTGGGTGACGCGGGTCCGGATCTCAGGCGGGACATCAGTTCCGTCGAGATTATAGATACGCCTTGCTGACAAGTGCATGGGTCCAGGGCTTCCTGCCGATTGCCTCCAACCAACTAACATCCAATAAAGTCAGCCAGCTAACATAGGGCGTTATATTGCTACATCACAGTTCCAGTTATCACACCTCATATCAATACAAGTAACAAAGTAATGAAGTGGAAGTTAGAGAAGGAAAGAAAAGTCGGTCAAAAGCAGTAAAAAAGAGAAAGGAGAAGTGAGAAAATGCTGAATTCGATATAACGGTTAAAATGTAGATACAATGTGTATATATCAACGAGATAGACATCGATTCTGAGCCATATCACTTAGAGTCTGCAACCATTGGTTTATCCTGTCCAACTGACCTCAGCCACTTAGCCTGCAGAGCTCTACATGGTTCAAATCAACAGTCAGTGACTTTATGTACTGGTGCCACGTTTTAGTCTGGCCACCCAGGCCCCTATTCTAGTCTGAAACTACTTTAGCCAACATTGTGTGACGAAGCAGATGGTGACTGAGCATGAGTAACACATGTCACAGCTATCTCACTCGATGAAGGTTCACAACCGTATCAACTGACCTCTTCTCCCTAAAACTGTACACCTGACTTTTGTGTTATTCACATGGTAACACTAAAACACACAGTCTTTGCTATGAAGGCAATGTTAGTGGTAAAAAAGTTAGTCAACAGTGATAGAACTTTGTGAAAATAGTACAAGAAGGGACGAAACAATTAAGAAATTATAGCGCCATTAAAATCAATTGTGAGTTGCGTCACCGATCCCAAACGTCTCTAGAAATCCATTCAGGTAATAACATATGTTCAAGTTCACATCAACAGTCAAAAATCCTTACGCCGGTGATACGTCTCGATCTACCTACTCTTCATTTGAACTTAATCCTGCTTCCACTAGTACTATATACCTTTCGTCAATAAAAATGTCGAAAGTTTAGATATAATTACATATGACGGTTTAATTAGTCACATATGATAAGTGAAAAAAAAATGATCAAATGATTGTGATATTCAAGGATTCATTCTTCAGTCATTGTGACAAAATGGAATCATTTACACTATTACTCACATGATGAATAGCTTCTTTGAATTCTTTCTCCATATAAATCGATTTGATATTCGTAAACTGAGAGTATAAATCCAAGATAATTAGCAAAAGCCTAGTAACATACAAACAAGATGACAGATTAAGAAACAAGGAAGCAACATGAAGATAATTGCTAAGCCATAACATACCATTTGCAGTCTCTACCAACCGACAACTTCGGTTTACACTCGATCCTAGAAGCCTACATTAATTTACACGATACAAAACAAGAATAAAGACTTCATAGACTAATATCATGTTTCTTTCATCAGGTTGTCTTTTATGTTTTTCCAGCTTAAACATACCTTTATCACATTAGGTGTACTGAGATAATTATGATAAAACATAGGCAAAGATACACACTATAAACTATTAAAACCGCGCCAAATGATAGTTTGAAAACATAATCTACAATACTGGAAAGTTGTTAAAGAAACATATGTTTGTTATTGAGTGAATCTTCAATTGGAAGGTTGTTAGTACAGTCAGAAGGCAAAAAAAGCATAAAAAAGCACAAATTTAACTGGAATCTATTCGACTTAATTTATACTTTAAAAGAAAAAGGTAAATGTTAAATTCATTGGGGGGGGGGGGGGGGTAAGGAACTCACTGTTCCGATGATTTATTCACACCGAATTGCAACGCTGAACTACAATAGAAAAGATGACAAAAAATAATCATTAGAAACATGGGTACTTTTTAATTTGAGAAACAGAGAGAAGCGCTAACAACAAAGGCGGTCCCTTAAAATCTATTGTAGTGATACATTTAAACAAATTTAAAATTGAATTCGAGGGTTTGTGACGATTTAGAGATTTTTTTCAAGTTGGTATTCATCATGGACTGACTGATATTAGTTAGAAGAACATTGGAAACCTAAGAGCACTGGACAGCTGTTTCGTCTCAGTTTGGGGCTGTTCAGAAATGCACACCCGCGACCCGTCATCCAGGGATCGAAACAGCGACCTTTCGGTTCCGTGGCTAGAAAGTAACCATTGAGCCAACCACTGGATCGGAATCCAACGATCCATATTTTTAGCTTCTGTCAGTTACCAACATAGCGCGATCGCCACCCAATGTTATCGTGGCTCTATGGTAACGTGCAGGCCAGGGAACCTGAGGGTAGCAAGTTCCATCCGTGGGGGGGGGGGACATGGACTGACAGTTATTGTATGGCATCAAAACGTACAAAAATGAATTCATCGCAGAAAGACTGATAATCCTGTTTGCATTATGGACTGCTGCATAACCTTCAACTTTCTTCAGAGAAGACAAGATTCCCTGAAAACCTCAACAACCAATCATTACCAGATTGGATTATAGGAGTAAGTTGATAGGCATTACTCTGTTAGTAAATACAAGGGCCACTTACACTTTGTACACATTTGAAATTGTCAATAAAGCTAGGCCATTTTTCCTCTCCTTCTATTGTGAAATGGCTTGTAAGACCTAAAAGGGCTTGGTATAAAAGTTACCGTTAAAGAGACCGAACATATGCATATAAGCTATTCAAGTCTACAGTAACAACGGACTAGACAACATGAGATTGGTTACTGTCTATTGACCAATCAACGCAGGCAATTTAATCGAACAGGAAGTCAACCATGGATCGAATAATCCAGTGGTAACGTCGTTCACTACAACTCTGGATGACGTGGGTTTCAATCTCACAGGGGACATCAATCCCCTCGAGACTGCAGATACGTCCCGCTGACAAGTGTCAAGAAGCACGAAACTCAGGTCTAAGCCTCCTCGCCGATTGCCTTCAACCAACTAACATTCATCCAAAGTATCTTTAACTGACGATTTTTGATATTTAAGGGAAGCAAAACGCTAAGTCCAGAAGTAGGCATATGACTCACTGGTTCATGGATATGACTTCAAAGCATTGGGTCACCGGTTCGAACTCCGTCACAAATATGCGCAAGGCCGATAAGTGAATTCCACTCATTAGATCACTTATCAGCGAAAAATTGTTTGGTTTCCTCTGACTCACCAACTATCTCCCACCACTGATTCCTCTTGTTCCGTGATTCCCCATCGACCAGTCTGCATCGCCCTGCATGGCTCAAATGAATTATCAACGACTTCGTGTATTGATGCAATGTTTTAGTCCGGCTACCCCGAGCATTTTTCCAGTCTAAACCTACTTTACCTAATATTGTCTGGCGAGGCAGATGATGACTAGGCAACTTTTCTCCCCTCCATAAAACTAAACACCGGACTTCTGCGTTACTCACGTGGTAATACTAAGACACAGCCTATGGCACGAAGGCAACCATGGTCAGCTATTTGAAGCCTCATGTACACTAACTTTAATGGCCACGTTTCCCACCTATACAGTAGAACAGAGCGAATTACAGTACAGTACACCCGGCTATCAGTAAACAATCGGTTGTCGCGGCGGTACTAAACATGGCGCAAGTTGGCAAAGGTCAACCGAGCCTTTTATATCTATGCACAGATTCCGTCGGCCACTGACCAGTGCAACAAGGCTGATCAGAATTCTCAGACAAGTGAAGTGTTTAACGCACTCAACTGCTTTACTTCCTAATGTTAGCCAGGGCACTACTGAAGATCGATCCTGGGGTAAGCTTGCCTGTGAATATTTGGTGGGTACACCCACGGCCAGGTTTGAAGCCTGCTTGATTTTCCTGTGCTTGGTGTTTTGTGCTTCACCCAGGTGTCTAGTGATAATGGAACCTAGAATCGTAGACACTATGGTCATCAGAGGCGATAATGTTTGACTCTGATACACTAATTAAGACGTTAGTTAACTTGGCTAGAAACACTCTATCACCGTCCTTATATACCCCAGGAACTAGTTTATCTGGTCCTACTGCTCTTCTTCATTTCAAGTAATCTACCGCCTTCTCGACTTCTGCAAGTGTTGGGTGGCACATCTCAATGTTCCATTCAGGATCCGACTGGATAGTGGGCAATGAAATAGTTGCTGGAGACCAGTTGAACTGTTCTTCTCATCGTTTCAGTCGTTTCCCTTATGAGTGGATTGCAGACCCATCTTTCTCCGTTATAGTCTCACCAACCCCTGACCTTAACACCTCAGTTTCCTTGAAAAGTCTAAATAATTGTCTACTGTTACCTATTGCCGCTGCCTTTTTATCAGAACTAGTTACATATGCTAGAAGATGAAATTGTCAGTTACTAAAGAACAACAATTTTTCCTCAAAAAAAATCCAAAACTTTCGCTTTACCTTATTGTATTCAGCAATAAAGGCGTGAGAAAACGTGTATTTTTTGAAGCTCCCTTCCAACGTAAACACTGCCATAGACATAGACGATAAGCAATCCAATCTGGTGGTTTTCTTGGTTCAATTGAAAGTCGATCATTTCTGGTTGTTTTTCTTAATAAACTATGCAAATCAGGACGAATAGATGTGAACCAAATGATGGCTGTCTCATATGAACAACTGTAGATATTTTCCAAGGTAGAATTAGACGATTTCTGTTGTAAATCTATCAATGTAACTTGTTAAAATGGAATAGAGAAACTAACCTTTAACAGTATCAACATTACTGACGATTTTTGTTTCCACATCAAGTAGTAAAGGTTTGAATAGACTCCAGAAAAGATTTTTACACTCTATACTCCAATTTTTCGCATCAGTAGTTAACTGATTCGTAACTGTATCAACACTATCATCACCACTAACACTACTAATGATGCTAGCAGACTTTTGCTTATGGGTATATGTTATACCTTCACAATAACTTGAAATAGCTTCATACACTGATGGCCATATAGCAGTGAATTGAACATGTAGTAGACCAAATAGGTAGCGAAGTGCAATCTGTAAAACATGTGTGTGGGAGAGAGAGAGAGAAGAAAGCAAGAAATGAAAAACAACTGAAAGTAGCAAAAAAAACAAACTAAGCAGATAGTTATCGAAGGACAGAATGCCACTAACGGAGATTTATAACTCTAATAACTCATGGATCAGCATCAACAATGACAATAATAAGCGACGGAGATTAAAAGAAAAGGTGTCTATAGATCTTACTATAGTATTCTTAAGGAAGATACTAGATAAATGTCGGTCAATTGAAAAGAAAGGATGGCACTAAACAGATCTGTGCATTGGTCTGTAATGCACACTTATTATCTAACCAATACTAGGCAAGACAAATAAGTCGATTGAAGAGATTGTGAACCTTCGTCGATTGCGAATGCCAAGCCACTATCTACCCCGATATGGTACCGTAGGAGAAGTTGGATTCAGTTGAAAGAGGACTCAGGGTGGTCACACTAAGGCCGAGGCACTAGTTAATGAAGTCTCTTAATGTTGGTCTGAGTCGGGTTGCGAGACATAGACTACCTGGTTTGAATCCCCAAGAAGAAAGAAATCAGTGATTAAGCTTAAAAACTATAAACTACCATTTTTGAAAGTTGTATGAAGGGTGAATGAATCAAACAAACATGAAATCACTTAACGCAGCGACTGTTACTATACGGTGATAAGTTAGTTACAAAAATTCAACTGCACTCTCACGATTACAAAAAGACGTACCAATGACAGAAGAATCGAATCCACAATACACATTTCGATATATTGTTAGTTCCCGTACACTGGTTTGTTGTATGATTTAACAAGTAAATATACTTGTGAGGATTTGTGACTGTTTACCACTAACCGTAGGAAGAGGATGTAGGAATTCTACTCAAGCCTTTTTTTAAGTCTGAGCAAATGAATAGACATTGTGACCCATAGCACCTCACACACGAAACTGCTACATATCCTTAATTTTGCACAGCTCTTATTTGCTGTTTCGCCCATGACCTCAAAATAACCTACATGGTTATTTCCCTCTGCTCTAAAGGCTGATCTCTCATTGGTTGTTAACTATTTCTACCTACATATGGATTTGGTATTGTCAAGGTCATTCAGAACTGTATATATTCAGCATCGCTGTCATCTGAATTGACTGTTGTTGAGACAGAAAAAGCTATTCGTCAGCGATCTATCTTCTCCTCTTCTCTTCGTGAGTCAGTGGTATTGTTGTGGTGGTGGTTGACGTTCTGATTTGCGTTAGAGTCGATTCGTTTGTGCATTAGGTTCGTATCGTCCGTAGTCTGTTAGATCATACTACTTATCATTATATTATTTATCCTTTGAGTTCCTAGCGGAGCATAGGGCTTCAGTAGCACGTCTTCAGTGCATTCTGTTCTCTGCAATCTACTGAAGCTGGCGCGTGATGCTCCCGAGTGGTCTTCTCAATGCATGCCTAATCCATCTCCACTTCCACTAACTTCTGCATATTTCTTGAGTGATAGGTTCATGCTTTGTTGGTTCGTCGCCAGCCAGTCAGCCAGCCAACCAGAGTTCCTTGTTGCTTATTCTTATTATTCTGGCCATCTGATCTGAGCTTCAGTAAGGAGCCAGTGTAGGGGGCAGTTGTTGATGAATGTCAGCAGTTTGTCGGAAATGCCTTTCGTAACGCGCCAAGTCTCTCAACCACCACATAGAAGCACTGACTCGCTTGACTGAATTGATGAAAATCCGGATGTTGTTCATGCTTTATGCTGAGTGCGGAAGATCTCGACACTGGTTTCAGGTTAATGAACGCCTGTCTTGCTGTGTTTCCGATGCTGGTTGCATTTGACGTTCTCGTCTGTGCCACTTGTAGTTGAGACAGTGCTGCCTAGATAGGTGAAAGAGTCTACTTCCACTAAGTTTATCCCGTTGGTGGTGATTGGAACTACTACTACTAATGGTCATAGCAAAAAATTTATTGCTTGAGTAAGTCTAAAAGTCACCATGATACCTGTTGAAATGATCAATCAGTTTATTCATTTGAAAAACAAAAAACACTAGTTTTCTAGCCGAAATGGGAAATTCTAATTGGTTGATTTAATGACTGTTGTCGTTGGAGTTAACAGGCCATCATCCGATATTAGATTGACATGAAATTAATTCAGTCTATTTATTTATTATTCACCGCCTGGTATTCATACATGCATATACATACCTCAGCAGCCTGTGAGCAACTTTTCACATCACGATCAGCATGTAACTGTAAAATATGCATAAGGAAATCACGAGCTGTTTGAGGCCCAAGTTTTATTCTTTCTGCTTTTAAACATCGCTCAATAACATTATACACAGGAGACGAGTGATAACTAGTAGTAACACCCTGAGTATTATCACACACATTGTCTTCAAGATTCTTTAACTTGCCATAAATAACAGACAGGATCCGTAGAATATGTAGTCGTATCTACACAGGGAAAAAAATAAAGAAAATACCATCTGTTATATATCGTTAATTGGCTGGATAGAGTACAGATTCCTTTCAACTAATCTCCAACATAAAACTTTGGTACAATTCCTGGAATAATAAGTTATAGGAGCTGTGACTGAGTGATTTCGGGAAGATAACTATCAACCACTGAGTCAAGGGTTCACACCCCGCTGCACCTATCGAGGTTTTGGCATCCACGTAGTATCGCTAGCCGCATACATGTAGCTCATCGCCTACTGCATGGTACGTGCACCAGGTGGCTGAGTGCGTTTCATTCATTCGTGCTGAACGCTGGGACATAAAAAACAAACAGTAAGCGCATATATCTGCAACTAGTAATCAGATTCTGTTGACCACATTAGTACGTCACCTACTCACTGAAAACGGGTGCCAAGTAAATCTCTATGCTAAAACACTGATGGGTATGGGTCTATGGTGAGTTGTGTACGCCAAGGATGCCAACTCTCTTCATTCTTATTCAATTTTAAAATACTCGTTTTTAAGGAGGTCTCCCTTTCATCGCCTGACCTTATCATAAGCGAATCCTTGGTAGACTTGAGTACACAAATGGTATAGTCCTGTACCGACAAGATGCAGTGTCTTCTGAACACCTTGAGTAGCAATTCGAGAATGCTTGTGATACGTTTCTCACCAACCAGGTGCGAATTATTGTTCTAGGACTGGACCTCACTGGCGCCTCATCAAGTAATAACGAGTCAAATGGTTGAACACTTTGACCACTGCACTTACTTGAAACGTTGGACCAGCTAGAGTGAGCCGGTGACCGACGAAGTCTCTCTCTCTCTACATACACACACACACAGAGGTTCGAATGGCTTTCACCATTCATGTCCGACAACAGGTCGAGTGTATCGCGCAGCAGTTAGCCCTATTCTACTCTGTAGATGTGAAATATGGATAATAAAAGTAGATGAACAAGAAAATCTGTTGATGAGGTTGCAAAGTTGTATCGATTGAGGAGACTTAGACATGTGTTACGCACGCGTAGTCACCGGCTGTGTTGCTAGGGGAGGTTGAAATGACTTGGTAGAAGGTTCAAGGTGACCAGAACAAACGTGACACCAGTCGACGAAGTCTTTGTTGGCTGGAACCACATGGGGAGAGGTAGACTGCCTGGTTGCATCATAGCTTGATGTGACGATATGCAGTGTGACAATTTGAACTGCTAAGCAGTAATGACTGATCTCATATTCATATTTTACATCTGTCTGACACCAACTACCTACCCCAACCAGCAAGCTGATATGATGAGAATGGTAGAAATTACAGTAAAAACAAACTAACGGACAGCATGCAGCCATGAAGTCTGAATAGGGAAAGGAAGTGAATGCTGAACGATAAAAATTAGTTCAGATAAAATCATCCAGTTAGAAAAGGTCAGAGTTTTAAGTGAACAACTTTACATCTTCAACGAGTGTACCATACGCTGATCAAGCATGTCACCTACAGATGTACAGCTACGCAGTTAGTTATAAGTAGTCATGCTAAAACAGCGATGGCTTGCAGAATAATGCCTGAACACATATATGCAACAAGATTTTCATATCCTATTATGAAAAGGTTTCCCTGGATGTTCGGAATCCATAAGATCATAGCAGTATCATGATATTTTTCAAGATTCTTGAGTGATCATTCTTCATAATTCAAAACAAAGTTGTCTTGTAATTGTTTTGGCATCAACGGTGCAAAAAAACTATCCAGCGTCAAACAACTGAATAACAATATTCATCAGAAATTATAACACAATCAATGAAATTCATTCATACATACATAAAAACTTACTACTCACCTGATGACTATAACAGCTCAACAGTGGAACCAAATAACGTTGAATTGACTGAAGATACTCGTGCAAAAAAACATGATCATCATCGAAAAAACAATCCAGAATAAACACGTGAACCAAAATATCGATCACCCGCAAAATTATACAACAAAAACCAGAATCTCCGTTGGACAACTCACTAAAACACAGAAAAGGGTAGACAAGTGGAAAAAGGTAATCCCCATTTTCAAAATAAAACCAACATAAAGAAAACAAATTAACCAAAACAAGCACCACCCGAAATAAACACCCTAAAATTAAATGAATCGCAAAAACACCATTAAAACCTCCCATACACAGTAAACAAAGACGATTCAACAAAAACAAAAGAGTAAAAAATTACACCGAAAACAAAACAAGCGCCACAAAACGTGTACGGTTAAGCAGCGCACCGCACCAGTTCAATTCCACCGAATAAACTCAATCGAGAATACAACTGCACATGGACATGAAATGTCCGCACGATGTTTGAACCCAGTAAGGCAGCCTAGATTGCAAATGAGATGAGAAGGTATCACATTGAAGTGCTTAGAATTTGCGAAAGCAGATGGAATGGGAGTGGACTCTCCAAACTGTCAACTGGAGAATCAATTATCTACTCCGGTCACTCAGACGACAACCATGAGCACACTGAGTTTTGGAGTGGCTATCATGATGTCCCCAACAGCATCGAAGGCTCACTGTCATGCAGTGGGAACCAATCTGCTCCAGGATCATAACAGCAAGATTCAACTCAGAAGGAAGGAAGGAAGGTCACAATCATACAATGCTATGCACCTACAAATAATGCAGAGCAAGAGAGACAGGAGGAATTCTACAGACAACTTCAATCAACACTGGACAAGACCTCACTTGGCGATATCAAAATTCTAATGGGTGGGGTGACATGAATGCCAAACTGGGAGCAGACAACACAGGAAGAGAACTAACCATGGGTCGAGAAGCGCTCGGTGAGGTGATGAACGAGAATGGAGAATAGTTTGCAGAATTCTATGCATTCAACGATTTGGTGATTGTAGTCAGGCACTGTGTTCAAGCACAAGGATATCCACAAAGCGACATGGATTTCACCAGATGGACATACTAAAAATCAGATCGACCTCATCTCAATCTCAGGAAAAGGAGCAGATGTAGGTTCACACAATCCACTATCTAGTGCAAGGTACCTTCCAAATCAAGTTGAAAGCCTTCAAGGAAGCTGGTGATAGACCACAGTTCAAGTACAACACTCGGAAACTGAAGGATGAAACTACAAAAGAAATCTTCACGACAGTCAGCCATCATGAAAAATGGGAGATATCGAGGAACATCCCTGAAGAAACCTGTGTGGAAGAACACTGGAAGTCTTTGAAAAAGATGTGGAAAGAAACCTGCACAACAGTATTAGGAAGGAAGAAGAAAGAAGAAAAGGAATGTATCTCGATGGATACCTGTAAGCTGATAGAGGAGAGGAGAGGAGGATGGTGAAGCAGAAGATAAACCAGTGCAAGGATGCTCAAAGACAAGAGGAATTGAGCACAATGTATAATAATAATAATAATAATAGACACAAACCAGTGTGGAGATCTTATGCACTCAGCATGCGAAACAAGATACGCATTTTCAAAACCAACGTCAACACAATGCTTCTGTATCTCTCACACAGTTGCCGCCTTACGGAAAGCATTTCCAATAAACTACAGATATTCATCAACAAGTGCTTACCCGCCCTACTCAAGAGCAGATGGCCACATCACATCACAACACAACTTAACACAACACACCATAACCAACACAAATACACTCATCAACACAATCACAAAAAAACAACAACCAACAGTCCAACACCACACCACAACACAACACACTACACTACACTACACTACACTACACTACAATAACCTAACCACCCAGACCAACACCACCAAAATACAAACCATCATTAAACACACACACACACACACACACAAAACTGACACACTCAGTCAACACAACCACCAAACCAAAAGCATCGTGGATAAACACTGTCGCTGTACTCCAACCCGAAACACAGAGTATAAACTCTCCCGGTGTGATGCACAGCTATTCATATATGCCCATTCCACAACACATAATGGGCAAAAACAACTACAAACAAACACTCACAATCACCAACAACATTCCCTTCCCCACAACAACACAAACATCATCATACAAACACGGAAATCCGACAACCACAACTCCACACTCAACACAACATGTCAACCCTCAATGATGGACTACCACACTCAGTGGCAGTAAGAGGCTAGGGTTCACATCAATTTAGCAGCAGTCGAATTCCACCGAATAAACTCGGTCGAGAGTGCAGCTGCACAACAAACACTACACATCACACAACATCCTACAAATACCAGTACGAAAACCAAATACATACATCACAACACCACACAACACACCACACCACGCAACATCTCATTTTTACGGCAAACCAATTCCACGCCCTGTCACAACTTAAACAACACACACACACACACACAATCAACATACAAAAAAACGCTACACCTAATTCAACTACACTACACTAGAACACACAAACACCAATCAACGCACTATCACATCACAGGAAACCACAACACAACACAACACAACACACACTCCATAACCAACACAAATACACTCATCAACACAATCACAAAAAAACAACAACCAACAGTCCAACACCACACCACAACACAACACACTACACTACACTACACTACAATAACCTAACCACCCAGACCAACACCACCAAAATACAAACCATCATTAAACACACACACACACACACACAAAACTGACACACTCAGTCAACACAACCACCAAACCAAAAGCATCGTGGATAAACACTGTCGCTGTACTCCAACCCGAAACACAGAGTATAAACTCTCCCGGTGTGATGCACAGCTATTCATATATGCCCATTCCACAACACATAATGGGCAAAAACAACTACAAACAAACACTCACAATCACCAACAACATTCCCTTCCCCACAACAACACAAACATCATCATACAAACACGGAAATCCGACAACCACAACTCCACACTCAACACAACATGTCAACCCTCAATGATGGACTACCACACTCAGTGGCAGTAAGAGGCTAGGGTTCACATCAATTTAGCAGCAGTCGAATTCCACCGAATAAACTCGGTCGAGAGTGCAGCTGCACAACAAACACTACACATCACACAACATCCTACAAATACCAGTACGAAAACCAAATACATACTTCACAACACCACACACACACACACCACACCACGCAACATCTCATTTTTACGGCAAACCAATTCCACGCCCTGTCACAACTTAAACAACACACACACACACACACAATCAACATACAAAAAAACGCTACACCTAATTCAACTACACTACACTAGAACACACAAACACCAATCAACGCACTATCACATCACAGGAAACCACAACACAACACAACACAACACAACACTCCATAACCAACACAAATACACTCATCAACACAATTACAAAAAAACAACAACCAACAGTCCAACACCACACCACAACACAACACACTACACTACACTACACTACAATAACCTAACCACCCAGACCAACACCACCAAAATACAAACCATCATTAAACACACACACACACACACACACAAAACTGACACACTCAGTCAACACAACCACCAAACCAAAAGCATCGTGGATAAACACTGTCGCTGTACTCCAACCCGAAACACAGAGTATAAACTCTCCCGGTGTGATGCACAGCTATTCATATATGCCCATTCCACAACACATAATGGGCAAAAACAACTACAAACAAACACTCACAATCACCAACAACATTCCCTTCCCCACAACAACACAAACATCATCATACAAACACGGAAATCCGACAACCACAACTCCACACTCAACACAACATGTCAACCCTCAATGATGGACTACCACACTCAGTGGCAGTAAGAGGCTAGGGTTCACATCAATTTAGCAGCAGTCGAATTCCACCGAATAAACTCGGTCGAGAGTGCAGCTGCACAACAAACACTACACATCACACAACATCCTACAAATACCAGTACGAAAACCAAATACATACTTCACAACACCACACACACACCACACCACACCACGCAACATCTCATTTTTACGGCAAACCAATTCCACGCCCTGTCACAACTTAAACAACACACACACACACACAATCAACATACAAAAAAACGCTACACCTAATTCAACTACACTACACTAGAACACACAAACACCAATCAACGCACTATCACATCACAGGAAACCACAACACAACACAACACAACACAACACACCATAACCAACACAAATACACTCATCAACACAATTACAAAAAAACAACAACCAACAGTCCAACACCACACCACAACACAACACACTACACTACACTACACTACACTACACTACAATAACCTAACCACCCAGACCAACACCACCAAAATACAAACCATCATTAAACACACACACACACACACACACACAAAACTGACACACTCAGTCAACACAACCACCAAACCAAAAGCATCGTGGATAAACACTGTCGCTGTACTCCAACCCGAAACACAGAGTATAAACTCTCCCGGTGTGATGCACAGCTATTCATATATGCCCATTCCACAAC